CAATACTACAAAACACCTCAATGTTTTGAGAATGAGCTGTTTTAATAATCACTGTAAGATTTAATTATAAACATCGCCAAAGAGCAGTGACACACGACATAAACATTGCTCAAACATGGCGGAGTTGTATACCCAAATTCACCTCAGACTCATGACGGAATGGTTCAGGGTCACGGGCCCTTGACCCGCTAGACGACGCTAGTGTCTCAGTGGCGGATGTGTGTAGCTCACTGGCACTCGCCTGGCTCAGATTAGCCATACTATTTACCTATCAGTACGAAATGACGGATAAGACATAGAAGGTCTAGTTCTTCATGCCCTGCCTGCTAATCTTGTTGTACCTGTTGCGTTATAATTTAATTATTCTGACGTTCGAATTTTTCGTCAAGTCTGGCCTTAAGGTTGTGGATGGAGGTGGCTTCTACAACTTCTTTCAGTACCTTCCACCTATGGACTAACCATAAAGGGCGCGAGAAATAACTTATATTGCCGATGTCTCTGTATATCTTGCGGCATACGTAAATCTGTGTATCTATGTATTTACGTATGTAGGTTAGCTTAGAGCATTTCAAAAGCACTGAATCACCTTCTGTGGTTGATTGTTCAATAAACCCCTGAACTATATGTTTAACACATCTCTCACCCTGTCCATGGAGGACAGAAGAAAATGTATATATGCTGGTTAGCATTGTAAATGTGTGGCCACGTCTGTGGTAGAAAATAATAATAAAAAACCTACCTGCGCTCTGTTCCTAATATCTAGCAACCCTGTTCTCCACACACACTTCCTCTCCACCTTCACCTCCTCAGTTCTCCTCACTCTCTCTTATCACTCATCCTTCTCTATTCGCTTCACCCTCTTTCTGCCCCTTTCGCCCCCAAGTGCTTACACCTTCCCCACCACAGGACCCCGGCACCTAAGGCTCTACTCCTAGTCCCAGTGGCGACATCTTCAGCAATATTCGTAACACTGAGCAAGACGAAGAGGTTGCCACGCCCCTGGAGCTCAGTCGTCAGAGTCGTCGTTTGTGCTCACTATATACCTCATTAGAATCATCGTGGGGCTCCCTTTACACGGTGAGAATTGTCGTGAAGCTCTTGATATCCAGACAGAATTGCCTTGGTGCTTGTTAAACCTCATTAAAAGCTTGCTAAACCTAGCTAAATTATTTTAGAACTCATTACACCTCGTTAGAAATTATAGGAGGCATTATCGTGACTGTTGAATTATTATATATAATTAGAATGATTGAAAATCATTTTGCGGTAATGGAGTGGGTTGAACCCGCGTACTGGTGATTTCCAGACACCTGCCTTAACCGACTCAGCCATGATGGTACAAAAGGCGATGAACCCGGAACTTCACTGAATTCACTGGAAGGTTCTGGAGGCCCCAACCCAGAGCCCAACCATGATGCTAGACAGTATTCAGGGCTAAAGTCTTCTTGCCGGTTGGTCAGAATCCAATGATGGTGACCTTGATAACCTGCCAAACTAGCGATATATATACAATATACACCAAGATGTGTACCCCGCTTCTCAGTGTATATATATGATGAGCATTTGCGGTTGCCTTAATAACGTTGCGGAGATTGATAAACCAAACTAAGGGGAAATACACAAGGAAAAGATACACCAAGAGACATACTCTACACCTCGCTGTATATACACAGTCTACTTTAGTTGTAAAGTACGCTCAAGACTAAAGTATACTCTCTGGATGGATAGGAATAACCTTCCAGAGGTTAAGTCGAAACTCAAGAAAGGAGTATAACAGACTATACATCTATTCATCTTTTTATATACAAATGTCTGGCTGTAAAAATTAGGCCAGACGTTTGGGCCTAGACTCGCCTAACTTTCCATGTGGAATAGTCTAGGGTGCAGGACAAACATAGGCTGGTCGGGGTAGGCGTAAGTCAAATTCTTTAAAAAATATTAGCATTTATAGCCCCCCCCCCCCCCACCAATATATGATTTTCATAAAAGTCACGTTTGAAATATTTGGTGTGTTTCTCATAAAGGTTTTAGTGATGCAATAATATATTTTCTGAAAGACCCATACAGTTGTTTGGGCTTCTAAATTAAAAACAAGTCTGAGAAATGGAGAGAGGGGGGGGGGAAGTGGGAGGACGAGGCGAGGTATGAAAGGGGGGGGACAAGTGTAGGGAGATGGAGGCAAAGGGGAGATAGGGGGAAGAGACCCGGGCGCAGCCGGGTTCCCCTATATATATATATATATATATATATATATATATATATATATATATATATATATATATATATATATATAGAGAGAGAGAGAGAGAGAGAGAGAGAGAGAGAGAGAGAGAGAGAGAGAGAGAGAGAGAGAGAGAGAGAGAGAGAGAGAGAGAGAGAGAGAGAGAGAGAGAGGGGGAGGGGAGGGAGATGTGGGTGGGAAGAAGGGGGAAAGGGAGAGGAAAAGAAGAGGGGGGTTGAATTCGGGGTGGGGTGTGGCGGGGTGGAGAAACAGACCATCCAGGCCACCGCAGAGTAACCTTCCTGGCATTCATCTATGCAGATACGAAACATTACGAAGTGGTCGGGTGTGTTTGTGATATGCAAATTGTATTTGGAAAGGCTGAGCCCAAGATCTGATGATCGGTCCTATTTGCATTTTCCGTAGAAAGAGATTTCACCACCACTGTTACCTACAGCTGCAGCGCGCTTGGAGACAGTGCGCCTCTGCTGTGCCTGACTAACACGAATATCACCCTCTAATTAGGCTAAACTAACCCAAACTATAACTAGGCTATTGATATAAATTAACAATCTCTGTAACTAGATCAGTAATGCTGCAGCGTGCCTAAGCAAACGGATATTAATGTATCTGCAAACTTTGCAACACCGCTCACAGGCGGGGTGCATAATAAATTACGCTAATCTTGCAGAAACTCAAGAAACAGAACAGCATTCCTTAAGACCTCAGCCACCACTGCAGTGGACTACTGTACACACACTGTGCCCAATGCTTGAGCGCCTCGTACATGGATCAATACGTAGGCTGCAGACACGGAAGCAAGCATGATCTGGACCAGCAACGCACTAGGAAGTAATCAAAGAACAAGACGAACATCTCACCTCAATAAATCAAAAGCTCATGTCAGTTGTAATGGGGAGGATGGAAATGGGATGTGAAAATAGACATGTAATGTGTAGTGGCAAATAATGGGAAAATAGACATGACACAGGAATGGAAAATAACATGTGATGGATTAAAGGGGGTTATTTATTTAATTATAAATGTAAAGGAGAGTGCAAATAAGACATGAAATGGGGAAGTATGTTCAATGTATGTTAAAAGGCGAAGAAAATAATAAAATGTTGACAGGACCAAATAAAATAATATGAATGAACATGCACAATGAAAAATGTAATTTCACTTAGAGAATTATGCAAATATTGATATATTTAAAATCAATGAACAAATCACAATTATTGAGATTTGTTCAAATCACAATTCATAATATTTCTGGCTTAAAGTTGTGAATGGAATTGGCTTCAACGTCTTCAGTGCATTCCACTTGGCAGATTGGATCCACGTAATGTACACAACTTATGTCCCGGGAGAGAGTTGTGTGATAGGGAAGCAGGACATTGCCTCAAGAATTACCGTTTTGACCAAATGTAATTGAGAAGCCTAATGTATTATCTGATAAACCTTCTGTATTATCTGATCGGACTCACAAAATGTGCGAACCAGGTTTCCTTTGATGGAAAGATGACCTCCTTCCACCCCCAAGAGAAAACAAGATTGTTGGACACATACCACAGCCAATTATATCAATAGAAATCTGATCGGACTCACAAAATGTGCGAACCAGGTTTCCTTTGATGGAAAGATGACCTCCTTCCACCCCCAAGAGAAAACAAGATTGTTGGACACATACCACAGCCAATTATATCAATAGAAAGTCAATTTGAGATTGTTTAGGTAGGCTGCCATCAGTAGCCAACATAAACAGCGCTGTAAATGCCCGAGAGTTTTAAATTGTAGAATGTGGGCCAGTAACGAGGACTGATGTTAGAAAGATTTGAACACCTGATTAGTGAGTAAGGTCTGCCACCTTGGCTCTGGCCCTTATGAAATATTTCGAAAAGTTTAACACTAGAGAAAGAGAAGAACAAGCGGAGATACAGACAGAATCTGGGGTCACTTTGAGCCAAGACTCGAAGAGCAGGATGTGTCGGCGCTTTCCCTTACCTATCACATTACATTAAACCTAGACATCACACTAAGCTAGGCATCACATTAAACCTAGGCATCATATTAAACCTAGACATCACATTAAACCACTAAACCTAGGCATCACACTGTAACAATGGCACAGTACATAGAATAACAATATAGCAGTGGAACATGTCTGGGCATGGCAACAACCACTCTATCATGACGTCTAACAGATAACAATAGCTGAATCTAACAACAACCTAAATATCACACAGACTAATATAAACCCTACTTCTGATACAACAAAAATAGAGCAGTAAAACAGAAAGACATATTACAGATATACAAACAGATTCCACACAGGTGAAATAGTATAGAATTAGTAGTCTAAAATTATGTAATATCATGTGGTCCAAAAGTAATATAGCCCTTTTGTTCCAAAAAATTATATAGTGGCCTTAAGTAATATATAGTTCCAGTGGTTCAAAAATTATTTACCTCCGATGGTGTAAATATGATGTAATCCCCATTCGTCTCACAATTCTTTTGATCAAGTGAACCCATAACCCTAAATAAAATAGGAAATGTCAATTAGCTGTCTACTCCAGTTTACCTGCAAGGCTTCTCGTTGTTTGTTGGTGAAAACTCAAAAACACACACACAGACACATCTCGGATTACTGACCTCAATTCCTTCAGCACAAAATTCAATCTTCTCGTTTTCCTGGCGATATTAAAGCACTTATGTGGTCAAATTCAATTATACACAGAATTATTTATTTAATGGTATATTTGGCATAACCATTTACCTTATTATATCTGTACAATTCCTGATGTACTAATGTCATTCACTGCATCAAAAATCCTAAAATAAAGAAACGTTCGCGAAGCACTCATCAACTACGTATCTTTGTCTGACTTGATGTTATCAGTGCGTTGACGTCTGTGTTTATAAACATAAGCACGTGCGCGGTCGCTCCTAAAGGCTAGCACCGTCCGCCCCCTTACAACTCTATCCGGGGACTGCCAGTGACTGAAGACTCCGCGCTACTTATAGATGTGGAGGGAGGGGAGACTATACAGACTTTGTCTTCGCAGGGAAATGGTGGCAGGAAACGCGTAGAGAGGAGAAGTATTTCCTGAGGTTATTAATCTTTCAATGTTATTATTACATATTGGTTACTGCAATTATTACAACTCCTAAGTATTTTTTTTACTATTTTCTGTAATTTAGTTATTATATATTAATATAATCTTAATTATATATTTATATATTATTTTCAGTCTTAATTTTTTATTCGTGATATTTAAATGCCATTATTATTGCTATTAAACAAATTTTGTCATCATTATTATAACAAAAATATGCATGGTGTCGTAAATGAATTTTCATTTACTGACACAGTGATTATGGGCTTAGTCAAGGACCAATTTCATATAGCAGTATTTCACTATATTATGTCACTCTAATGTATTTTGGAGATAAACTAACCGATTTATGAAACTATTAGAAAGGGTACCCAGCAGTGCAGGGGTTAGTCTGCCTCTTCCCCATCCCCTATTCTACCCCTCTTCTTCCCCTCCCCCCCCCCCCTAACCCCCCCCCCTCATCCCCTCTTGGCCCCCCCCCCCTTTTGTCCTCCCCTTCCTCCACACCTCCAATCTCTCTCCCCTTTCTCTCGGAAAATTTATTATTAACTACCAAAATAATATGGACTGTTATCCCCCCTTCCCAAATCTCCCCCATCCCCCTTGTCCCTCCCTACTCTTATCCCCATTACGCTTCACCCCCTCTTTCCCTTCTCTCAGAAAATATAATAGAAAGCAATGAAACTACTGCATGAGTCTCTCAAGGAAATATTTTGATACTCGAAAAACTCTTTGGCAATACAACCAATATATCAAACTTGAGTAGACTTGAATCCATGAAAAATGGATTGTGGGTGTCAGTAATTACAAATATTTTTTAAAGAATTTATCTTAGGCCACTCTGAGCAGCCTATGTCCATCCCGTACCCTGGGCCATTTCCCCTACAAAGTTGTGCCAGGCTAGCCCCAAGCATCTGGCCTCCAACGTTGGACAGACATTTTCTCTTATAGTAACAAATATATTTTGCACGTTAATAAAATATTTAAACAACTGTATGGGTGTAAATTATATTATGACAAAAACTCCACATTAATCGCATGGCATATTTCACACTTAACTTCACATGAGAGACTCCATGGAATAGGTCTAGGGTGTTTATCTTTGCTAATATTTCTTAAAGCGTTTAAATTACATTTATTCTGGTCAGCTTATATCTATCCCGTACCCCAGACCATTCCCCCAGCAAATTTTGGTGAGACTAGTACAAAGCATCTGGCCTCCCACTTTGGACAGACATTCTCTTATATATATATATATATATATATATATATATATATATATATATATATATATATATATATATATATATATATATATATATATATATATATATATATATATATATATATATATATATATATATATATATATATATATATATATATATATATATATATATATATATATATATATATATATATATATATATATATATATATATATATATATATATATATAGTGTTAATCGCCTAGAAAGAGACGTTGTTGTCTTGCCTATATACTGAGATCTTTGGGGCTGACAGTCCCCAAGTGGGGATGTGACGACGTTGGTTTGTTTCAAGGCGTTCTGTTTGGTGTCTGGAGAGTTCTTCATGAGTAGGTTGGCCGTTTTCTTGTTTTTGTAGTAAATTGTTAATTGTATCTTCTGATTTGTGTCTGTGAGGATAACGTTCCTATTAATAATAGGAAGCAATAAAAATGAAATGAGGCACAAGTATCTCAAGGAAATGTATAAATATGCCGGAAATTAATTAGATCAAATCTACACTGATTGGTCATCTAATCCTGTCAATGGCAGGGCTGGTGCAGCATACACTCTAATTAGGAAATAATGCCTTTCAACGCGGAAATGATGAAAAAGCACATCTTGAAAACTATGCCTCTTCAACGCAAGCAGAGCTAACTGCCATTGTTATGGCTTCAAGATTCCTTGAACGAAACACTAATGGCGCATTGATCGGCACTGATTCAAAAGCAGCACTACAAAGCCTTAGTAAAAATCGGGCAGAAACTCTTGCGATATTCGCTGAAATCAAGAGAGTTGTGAGAGTACTAACCAATCAGGGAAGAGTCGTCAAATTTCTGTGGATCCCCTCCCATGTTGGAATATATGGGAATGACCGAGCAGATGTGCTGGCTGCTGAAGGAGACCATATTGAGTACCTCAAACCCAAGACTCTTCTACAAATTAGAAGTATTGTCAAGTAACATCACCGTGACAAGGTAACTGAGGGTAGACGAACAAATCAGTGAATCTGGACGCTAGTACAATATGGTTGCAGTTGGCAATCCCAATCATTACGGACGAAGAGGAGGTGGCCGCGGGAGGGAATCAGTACTAGCAAGAATTCGTCTTGGATATACTTATCTATGGAATTTCGGAATGGAACCAACAGTTGATCAGCAGAGTTGCAGAATCTGTGATGATAGTAACGGACATCGCCTTGACCACTACCTGAGGGAATGTGAACATCTAAGAGTAATTAGAAATATGTGTAGAATAATAAACCCCACATTGTTTGAATTCGGAAAATACTATTTGTCAAATATAGGTACTGTTCTTAAAAGATTCCCCCATTTTGCGCCTGCAAGATAACGTAAGATTTGAAGGGTTGACAAATGTTGATCTTCTTGTTTGAGAAGTTGTTCACTTAAGACAGTTAAGCAACTACCAGCTATTTCTGGGTACAAGTGACAGGATGAACAACCCAGCGGGTTTTCTTCCTATTGGGGGTGTTGTACACGCTGCTATGGCGATATGTCCACTGACAAGATGAGTGGCGCTTCCCCATAAACTCGCTCTTCGGGTCAAAATAAAAAAAAAAAAAATAAAAATAAACAACGAACACGGAGCGTGTCTGCAGAGGGGAGCCATGGGTGACTAACCCATCTCTGGTGTAACCCAGCTGGACTGCTGACATTGTGTAAACAGTGCGCTCTACCTCGGGAGGCATAGCAGCTCGGTCACTGGGGATGAAATATACACAGACACAGCTGTAAGCACACCTGAAGTTAACCTAGTGAAAGTCATCAGGCATCAGAGAAGGAGCATGGGGTTAGTTTCATGTTGACTTTCGATCTATAAAATTCTAGAGGATTATTAAGGAAACCATAATAGCTTACTAACTAGTAAAACTGTTTTACTCTTTCCTGAATGTAGTCTGGCATTGAATCAACCCCTCAATGCAATGTGGCATAGAATCAACCCAGCCTCCTGAAATGATAGTACCTATAGTAACTATTTGGTCTAAGTACCAATATATAGTGATGGTCCGCCAGTAAACCAATTTTTATACTTTCTATAAAGTCCGGAAAAATAAAGTTAAAGACCAAACTTAAATATTCCTAGGCTTCGCTAGAATACCACATCTATTTACTATATATACTAGGCCTAAAATTCCTAGGAGAGGTTTGACCAAATAATACAAAAGTCAACTTTCTGATAGTCCATCACTTCGTTTCTATATTTTTCGACCAAATACTTACTGAAAATACTATAATTTTAGTAGGATGGGGCTACATTGAATATATTTGCTCTTATTCTCGTTTCCTAGCACTCTCATATACCCGTGTATATGTCTGTGTGCGTCCCTTTTCTCTCCCTCTTTCACTGTATCTCTCTCTTTCTCTTTTTCACTCTCCACTCTCTCGTCTATAAATATCTCTGGGGTTTACACTACCTGTTGATGTAGCTGTGACCAAATGTAAACCGTCGGCGGAGTTATCCCCACACGCTCAAAAATAATGTACCTTACTGAAAAATAATGGGAATTAAAGGATGACTTTCTTGCAAATGTTCAGCATATGTCAACATATTTAATCCAACCTCCCCCTCCCCCCCCCAAAAAAAATGAAATTGTTGCTAATTATTCATTTTTTCTTTTGTTATAGGGAACAAACCCCACTCTGTTATTTGTATCTTATAAGCGATTGGTTTGCCACAACTGGAACAAGACGTGACAAAATATGTTGTCTGTCTGGCCTCCAACTGTGAACATTATCGCTTATAGATATCTCTATAAATAAGAGAAAATGTCTGTCCAATTTATGTTGCGAAATTCAAAATTTCAAATCTTCGGATGTTTGCCTTACTTTGAACCTAACCCTCTGGAGGGTTATTAAGGCCACAATAAACGCTAATTGTACAACCAGCAAGTATATTTTAGCCTTAAACTTAGAAGTAAAGCAAACTCAGTGTATCTCCACCGAGAACAGGGGTACACATCTTGACAGGGTTGCCGTCAAGGCCACAGAGGACACCATCACACCCACAGTAGTGTTATTGAGAGCTGCTAGGCCATGAGAGAGGCATTTAGCGGGCCGCGGACAAGACAACAACAACACTAACAATCAAAATCAAGACACTAACAAATATGTCCATACACCAGTGCTCAGAATTAGCATCAAAATTGTATTTATATGCCACCAGCATCTTATTCCCTCAGAATGTTTCTTAGTCATCTTTGTCTCTCCTTCCAAAGATATACGGTGTCCTGCTGACCGAAGTGGCCTGAGGGGGTAGTTGATATTCAAGATTTCGTCAGTAGTATCCCGCCGCAGGCACGAGAGGAGGTGTGTTGCTCCCGCTGCTCCTCAAGATGTCGACTAAGGCGCTAACAATCACTATGGCAGATGGGAGGAAGATGCCGGCTGTGGGACTCGGCACCTGGATGGTAAGGCTTGCCTCTCACTGGGCGACATACAATTGTAATTAATAATAATAATTCAGTTTCTCAGGGACAGGCAGCCTGTGTATGTGCATACGTTATGGTTATATGCCCCCCCCCTTCTCCCCTTCCGCTCAAAATTGATGTAATGACTTTCCTCAGGATGCAACCCAACAACAGTTGACTAACTGCCCGGGTACCTATTTACTGCTAGGCCAACGGAGGCATTAAGTGATAGGAAACGTGCCCAACGATTTTTGTTTCGCCCGGGATTCGAACCGGGGATTCCCGATTGTGAGTCTAGAAGGAACCCAACTGTAATACCGAGATACTGAAAAAGCACTTGGATCACCTAGTGTGGTGAGTGCTGGGTACCTCACTGCACTATGTGTAGGAGAATAGACCTCTAACCCTGTCTTATGTGAGACAGACGAGAATGTATGTATTGTATGATGGTTACCATTGTAAAAGCACTATAATCACCTGTGGTTGAGTACTCAATAACTCACTACACTATATGACGTCTTAACATATCTCTAACTCAGGTTATGGAGGACAAGAAAATGTATATATGATGGTTACTCTATATAAAAAATAAAATACTATTGTAACTGTGTGGTCACGTCTGTAGTGGAAAATAAACTAAAACAAACTGGTTGTGAGAATCTCTAAACTTCGACAGGTAAGCCTAAGATTAGGTTTCCATGGTGACCTGGCCAGTACGGGTATTACCTATTCCGAAGCATATTATCACAGCCTGGCTGATTAGATATCCACAGTAGAATGTAGTTCCTTCTTGAAATCATAAACACTAACGGCTCAAACAATATTGCTTACTTTTGTTGGTAAAATTGTTGAAGATCCATAGACCTAGGATATTTAACATTATTTGTATTACCATAAATGTTTTTACAAATTATAGACTCACTGGACTATAACTCCGCCCTTTGAAACACCACGTCCCTCTGGTGGAGAGGTTGTGTGCTCAACTACCAGAGGGCAGTTGAATATTCCATGTAAAGCCCTTTCTCTGATCAATAGATAGGAGAGAGACTCAGTGTGTTTCATCTTCTAGAATTCGGCCTTGTAGTTCGGCTTGAAAAATACAAAGCCGTATCCCCTTTAGTTTTACCTGATAAAGTCACCAAGAATCTTATGTCTGTCAATCCCTATACATTTTTTTAAATCCACACCCGCCCCCTTATCGTTAATTTCACCATTCAATCCTTAAACGTTTTCCTGGTGTATAGTTTGGATCTTCTCAATTATTGACTGATTTTCAAGTTACCTCGATCACTTACCTTTTCAGAAGAAATGATTGAGTTCTGTGCATTATGATATTCCTGGTGTGAACCCCATCATTCCCTCATGGTTTTGGTTTTGTATGCCAGCCCTTAATTCTAAATTTTCTTGCCCGCCTGAATCATGCGCGCTTGCACAATATACTCACTACGCCTAGTCTAATGGGTTCGTCCTTTCCACATACTCTTTTAGGGTTGTCGATATATTGACTGTAAACAAATCATTTACGGCCTCAGGCAATCTGTTCCTCCATGTGCAGAGTGTGTAGTTGACCAAACATATGACCAAAATATGTAGACCAAACCACACACATTCTAGTTGGTGGTTTATTCAACATATTCCTACAAGTCTCCGTGAACCGAAGAGTCTGACTCATTCTTCCAGCCTATCTTGCTTAGGCTAAAGCCACACATATATTACCGATGCCGTTTTCTCTTAGATGTCTTGGTTCTACTCAAACTCCTGTCAGGGATTTGCGTCCTTTTATGGAGGGTTGTATTTTACTGATATTTGTTCCCCATTCTCTCCCATTATATTGGTGCCAGTCATGTTGCTCTCTCACTCTTTCTAGCAGACGTTTAAGAATACCATACAGATAGTATTGAATTACATGCTGCTTATATACCTATCTTGTTGGACCTTATGGCTCACAACCTATAGGAGGTTATTAGGCTAAAGCGCCCTTCTTGATATAAACGTATGGTTATTCTAACCTATGAATCACTTTTTCTCATATAAACTATATTAAAAAAAGTGTAACAGGTTCAACTTTGCCGTATTTTGCTTTGATGTTCCTTTATACCCAACCAGCAGGAGTATTTTAGCCCTAAACATATTCTAGGACTGAAGTAAATTTTCAGTGTGTCTTCACCGAGAAGCGAGGTACAGCTGGATTTTGTTGGATTTCTAGGTATAGTACTGCTCTTAGGCTGCTCAAAGGCAATCCAAGGTAATAATCAACTCTCTCTTTAATAGCACATACCCTGGCTAACTCGTCAATTCTATCAAATATTTGGAGACCAATATGGGATGGGATCTATAGGAAACTGACCCCTGATACCATATTTGGTGATTTGGCTCAATACGTTCCTTCAAACAAAAGCACGTCATAATTGTCTTGTGGAGTTGTATACTAATTAATACTATACTAAATTAAGAGCATAACTAGCACATTCCTCCTGCGCCAGGCCCGAGACGAGGAGATGCGGGCGGCGCTGACCGTGGCCCTGGAGTGTGGCTATCGCCATGTTGACACAGCCTATTACTACCAGAACGAGAAGGTGATTGGCCAGGTGCTTCATGAGTGGCTCTCCAGCGGCAAGGTCACCAGAGAGGAGCTCTTCATCACCACTAAGGTCAGCCGCGTCAATGCTCATTTGCATATTTTCAGTAAATTAAGGTTAGCTTTTGACTTCGTATAAAATGCCAAAGATAAAATTGAAAACTTGTGCATGGTACTCGGGAAACAAAAATATATAATGAGGGCCACGTTGATCAAATAATAAAAACAAATATTTGTAATTGTAAAAACATAGGCTACACAAGCGAATATTATTAAGTTGATTTTTAAGTAAGGAACAAAGCAAACTTTTAAGTCATATACCCACATTCACAGCGCTTCTGACAAGTCTCTGCTAAACCCGGCTATTTTGTACATCAATACATATAGGCTATACATTTTTATATGTAATCCCTCACGCCTCTTACTCCCCCATCCCCCTACCTTCTCCACCTCCATGTCAGTGTGCAGTAAATGCCCATAGACAAAAATTACATTTTCAAACATATTATATACATAACGCGAGCAAACACGGCCAGTATACACACATACCACGAGTAAACACTACCAGCACACATACGTACCACGAGCAAACAATGCCAGCACACATACATACCACGAGCAAACACTGCCAGCACACATACATACCACGAGCAAACACTGCCAGCACACATACATACCACGAGCAAACACTGCCAGTAGACACACATACCACGAGCAAACTCTGCCAGTATACACACATACCACGAGCAAACACTGCCAGTATACACACATACCACGAGCAAACACTGCTAGTATACACACATACCACGAGCAAACACTGCTAGCACAAATACGTACCACGAGCAAACACTGCCAGTATACACACATACCACGAGCAAATACTGCCAGTACTCACACATACCTCGAGCAAACTCTGGTAGCACACATACACATGCCACGGGCAAGCACTGTCTGCACACATATGAAACAAGCAGACCCTACTAAAACACCAGCCCGTCCTCCAAACAAAGACCCAAAAGTGATTCCATCCACCCGCCAACCCTCTGTTTATGAATGAAAAGCGGTTTACACACAACTCACAACTGTTGACGTTCGAACACTTCCGGAACAAGTGCTTCACTGACGAATTTTGTTCGAACCACAACGCTGTAAATGCGTCACCCACCAACCCGTCCTCGACTCAAGTCCATTACATCCAGCGGTCGACCCCACAGACGCATTCATAATTTTAACATGCTCTTAATTCAAAACAGATTTTTTTTCAAATATAAATTAATATTATAATATATTAGTATATTGTGCATATATAGGCATAGGTTAGGTTAGGTTAGGTGTTTAGGTTCTGTTGGCGATTATTTGTATTTGTAGTACGTGGGTGAAGCATTTACAGCGTTGTGGTTCGAACAAAATTCGTCAGCGAAGTACTTGTTCCGGAAGTGTTCGAACGTCATCAGTTGTGAGTCGTTTGTAAACCGTTTTTCATTCATAAATTTGGTATTTTTCATTTGGCGGGTGCATGGAATCACTTCTGGGTCTTTGTTTGGAGGACGGGCTTCACCCACGTACTACAAATACAAATAATCGCCAACAGAACCTAAACACCTAACCTAACCTATGCCTATATATGCACAATATACTAATATATTACAATATTAATTTATATTTGAGAAAATTTATATTTTGAATGAAGAGCATGTTAAAATTTATGAATGCGTCTGTGGGGTCGACCGCTGGGTGTAATGGACTTGAGTGGAGGACGGGTTGCAAAACACATACCAAGAGCAAATTGTTCCATCACACATACACACAATGAACACTCTTAATAAACCTCCACTAGTTAACAACTTTATTTACTTCTGGGATGATGTCTTGTGTTGAAGTTTCTAAAGTGACATTAGATACGTCACCCTGCGTGAATGCATTGAGATGTACACAGCACTTGTAGTACTGTGTACATCTCAGTACCTATGGGTACTGAGTTACCTATCTTTTCATTCAACCTGACAGCTTCCAGAAATAGGGAACCGAGCGAGTGACGTCCCTAAGTTCCTGACGAAGTCACTGGAGCAGCTGCAGCTGACCTATGTTGATCTCTACCTCGTCCACTCACCCTACGGCTACCTGGGTGAGTCTCAGTCGCGTTATGGCTTTCATGTTCCCATTATTAGTGGCGAGCGCTGCCCTCCCCCCTGGTGACCATTTTTGGTACCTTGAACAATGCAACCCGTTCTCGCACTTGCTTATAATCAATAACTTGCTTATGAATAAGTGCATATGTGACATACTAATTTATTGTGAATATTTGATATTTGAGTTTACCTTGAAAAACTGAATAGAAAACCACAACCTAACTACAATGACGGTGCAAGGAGCCCGCGGGGTCGCACATATACTTGGAAACTAGACGGTATTGGTTCTATCTTGCAGACGAGTAGTCATAATAATGTGGCTGAAGATAATGGAGACGCGACGACGTTTCGGTCCATGCTGGACCATTATCAAGTCGTGTGTCAGGACTTGATAATGGTCCACGACGGGCCGAAACGTCGTCGATTCTCCATCTTCTGAGTTGTGGTTTGGTCATATTTGGCGCTAGCTTGAAATCTAACATATATCTAGAAAAGCCTTGCATGGACGAATGGCCTTAACTTTCTACAGAGATAATGCTGGAAAATTTAAATGAAAACAGAAAGTGTTATGCCAAAAGAACAACGAAATACATAAATTTAATATATTTAATGATTCATAATAATATTTTGATAATTATTTACTATTGTTATAAATTAGACGTTATCATTATAATCACAATATATAGTTGTTGTAATCACTAAAATAGATAATCATATATTAAGATTAGTTTTAAAATATTTTTAATGGCTGTAGTTTTGTCTAGTGTTGAACTTAACCCAATACAGTGTTGCTACGATGATGTGTGCTTACTATGTAAGGCCTATCAACTATCAGTTGGTTATCCAGACTACTTCAAGAGCTCACTGACTATAACCGCTAAGTATACTTTAATCCTGATCATACTATGTTGGCAATGTATATATATATATATATATATATATATATATATATATATATATATATATATATATATATATATATATATATATATATATATATATATTATATATATATATATAAGCTGCTTTCTGCTGTGAGAAAGCTGCATGAACGCGCAAGCCATAGATCACTAAGAACTCCTTGACCCGGCCAGGATTCGAATCCATGCCGTCCAGGATCACCCCTGAATGTACACAGTTCCGTGACCACCGCACCAATGATCGTCTATAATGATTGGTCAGTCTTGGTGCTTATTAACTAAGCTCCCTGACTGATCAACCCCCGACGACACTCATGGATCCATTTGGGTACAGTTGTTCATCAAATTCTGGCGCATGCACGGGCCGTCTCACACATGTTAACTCAGTGCGGCCCGTGCATGCGCCAGAATTTGATGAAAAACTGTACCCAAATGGATCCATGAGTGTCGTCGGGGGTTGATTAGTCAGGGAGCTTAGTTAATAAGCACCAAGACTGACCAATCCTTATAGACGATCATTGGTGCGGTGGTCACGGTACTGTGTACGTTTAAGGGTGATCCTGGATGGCATGGGTTCGAATCCTGGCCGGGTCAAGTAGTTCTTAGTTATATATATATATATATATATATATATATATATATATATATATATATATATATATATATATATATATATATATATACATAATATATAGACTGCATAGAAACATAGAAACATAGAGAGACAGAAACATAGAGGCTGCAGAAGGCTTATTGGCCCATACGAGGCAGCTCCTATCTAAACACAAAGATCAATCCAGTGTAATTGGCCTATTATGTTGGCCAATGTGTAATATATATGTAATATATATATATATATATATATATATATATATATATATATATATATATATATATATAATATATATATATATATATATATATATATATATATATATATATATATATATATATATATATATATATATATATATATATATATATATATATATATATATATATATATATATATATATATATATATATATATATATATATATATATATATATATATATATATATATATATATATATATATATATATATATATATATATATATATATATATATATATATATATATATATATATATATATATATATATATATATATATATATATATATATATATATATATATATATATATATATATATATATATATATATATATATATATATATATATATATATATATATATATATATATATATTACATATATATTACACATTGGCCAACATAATAGGCCAATTACACTGGATTGATCTTTGTGTTTAGATAGGAGCTGCCTCGTATGGGCCAATAAGCCTTCTGCAGCCTCTATGTTTCACCTCACATTTATCCCTTATATATATATATATATATATATATATATATATATATATATATATATATATATATATATATATATATATATATATATATATATATTCACACACACACACAAAATAGTCCACCTCTTCGGTGTATTGGTGGTGGAATTAATATGCGAAATATTTTGGTGTAAATAACACCAAATGAATTACAAATGAACATTCAGTTAGATTTCCTTTGATGTTCAGTATAACGATCATTGCATTGTCAACAATTTCCGATATGTAATATGCTATAGTGGTTATACTTGTTGTTAATCGCTACCTGGAACATAAAGTTCCAGGTTGCACGGGATATAGTTGATGGAGTATTATATTAATGGAGTATTGTTCTCTGTAGGTGAGGACGACGACGAGGTGGAACCTGTGGACAAGAAAGGCAGCTGCGCCCTGGATTACACAACAGACTTGGAGAGTGTCTGGCAGGCCATGGAGGAGCAGGTAGCTTGATGGACGGTCATGTTACGCCATAGGCCCCTTTCAATTAATATGAAGTAATGATTTATTCAATATTAAGTAATTATATTCTCATTATGTTAATAATCCTTCATTTCTCATCAGATTTTTAAATAATCAATGACGCCATATGGTGGCGGAAAATGACGATGAAGGTGAGATAGAGATGACATAGATTAATGTTAAGAGTGAGATGAACGTGAGAGGTAGATGACAAATTAGTAAGTGACTGAGGCATCACACAGGTAAATCACAGGTATTCTCAACAGGTGGATGCTGGGAGGGCAAAATCCATCGGTCTCTCCAACTTCAACAGTGTCCAGACCAAGCGGATCATGAAGAGTGAGTCAGAAATCCATCTCTTTGCAAAGCTACTTAATGTCTCCATAATGAACGTAAACCATAGTTTACCTTACAAAAATTGTATTTTTGATCCTCTAAAATATTATCCACAGCCCAGTACAACTTTCATTGCTTTATTTTCTATTTTTCTTTTCAATCAAAATTTGACTTGTGGGTTATTTATTTTAATTTACGAATTTTATAAATATGAGGGAAATATTCAATATTTAACTAACATGCAGGTTTTCCTTGTTTGTAAATGTTCCTGTTTCTGTCTGTATATCTGCATATGGATGCATGTGTTTATCTGCACGTGTGTGGGTGCCTGTCTACGGTGTATATATATATATATATATATATATATATATATATATATATATATATATATATATATATATATATATATATATATATATATATATATATATATATATATATATATCTCCCACATGTGTGCATGCACATGTGTGTGTGTGTCGTGGTAGTGTGTCGGGTGCGGCCAGCCAACATGCAGGTGGAGGTACACGCCTACCACCAACAGAAGGAGCTGAGGGCGCTCTACTCCAGCTTCGGCGTCCCCGTCTGCGCCTACGCCCCCATCGGCGCCCCCTTCATGGTCCCAGGGTAGGTCGTATACCTTTGACCCCTTGTATAGCTACCATGTGCACCCATACACATACACACCTACCTGACGCTCCGCATACAATTGTCAACAGTCTCTTCATTTCATGGTCCGTCATTACTGTAGCACCAAAAGTAGAATTGTCAGTTGATAATAACACACTTCGAAGCTGACCAATGAGAATGCAGTATTTAGATACTGTTCAGTCACTTTACACGTTAACCACCTGAACACTTGCATAGTTAGTATATTAACTGTTGTACTGATTTTGTGTTCTCATTTCTAAGCCTTCCTTTTTAAGGCTAAGTTAGACTTGGGGAAATGCCACGTCTATTATTGGTGTAAAATAAATGTTTGAAAGGTATTTTTAAGAATATTTAAATAAATTGTTACATAAAATTGTTGGCAGAAATAGGTATAGTGGCATAAGAGACCAGATATGTCTTCTTGATCGAACAACATGGAGTTACATTCTAAGTGTTTGTGAAAGTATTACAAAATTAACCTCATATCGTACGCAGGTATTTCGCACATAGATCGTTGTCTTTTTTTTTGCATTGTTAAGATTACGACTGATTACGGTATGTTAGTAATAGCTTAAATTACTATAAGTAAAGTAGGTTTTAAAATCCGTTGGTGACCCATTTTTCCTGTAGCCTAATAATGTACCTCAGGTCCAGTGATCATCCAGCTCTCGTGAATAACCCGGTGGTGACAGCCATTGCCAGTCGTCTCAAGAGGACGCCTGGACAGGTTCTCATCCGTTTCCTCATACAACAGGGGTTGGCAGCCATCCCTAAATCATCCAACCCAGAGCGCATCCGTCAAAACATTAAGGTGAATGATTTGGCACATGAAAGGTTTCCTATCATCAACCATCCGGGAGTCATCCACCTTAGTTGGCTTTAATTGCAAACATCCTTACCATCCAACAGGTGGTTTAACTCTTCATCCATTAATAAAAAATAATTTTGTTTATTTATTATCCCACCCCAACCCGCCATACCCATCTTGTGAGTGGAAGTGGAGGAGGTTACAGAGCATATGATGGTCACGGGAACTGGAACTCAGTCGTCCCCATAGTTCATTTGGCAGAGCAAGCTAGTCAAGAACTAGTTACATGGTTTAATGTATATATCAACAGTCTCTTGTAGCACTATGGGTTTAAGACCTGGGGCCAGATTCACGAAGTAGTTGCGTAAGTACTTACGAGCGTGTACATCTTTCCTCAATCTTTGACGGCTTTGGTTACATTTTTTAAACAGTTTACAAGCATGAAAACTTCCCAGTCAACTATTGTTATTGTTATAAACAGCCTCCTGGTGCTTCGGAACGCATTAACTGTTTAATAATTGTAAACAAAGCCGCCAAAGATTGAGAAAAGCTGTACAGGCTCGTAAGTGCTTGCGTAACTGCTTCGTGAATCAGGCCCCAGTCACTAAACTGAACATTTTATATATGTGGTGAACCAGCTACATATAGTTTAATCGCTCACTCCACACTCATAGTCATACACCCGCACATCCATCCTCCTAAGTACCTACCATATGAGGTTAGACGTTGCTATAGAGGGTTTGATGTTGTGCTGAAGACCTATCACCCTCTGAGGTGTTATTAAGGCAATAGTATAAGTGCTTACTGACCAACCAGCAAGTATACCTTAGCACTGAAACACTGTTTAGGGTTAAAGTAAACTTTTAAGAGTGTATACACAGGGAAATTGTGTATGTATTTAGTGAGAAGACTGACGTAGAGAATAAATAATATTTGCCAGAATCAGAACAGGAGAAGGACTAATATCTGTTCTCGCAGGTGTTCGACTTCGAGCTCACCAGTGACGACATGGCAGCCCTGGAAGCATTGGATCGAGGCAGAGACGGAAAAATATACGTCTATGAGCCTGTGAAAAGGTGAGCTCGCTCTCTCTAACTTTTTCTTTACATATGTGGGTACAGAAGTAGACGTCTTCTGACTCCTGTTGGCAGGCTGAGAGCTTTCTTTTCCCATAGTGAAAGTGTGTATCATGTGTGCTCTGTGCATTGGATCTATATATCTATAACTGCTAAGACATTACTGGTCATCTCTTAAGAAGCAGCCCACAAGAGCTGTGTAACGCTCTCTGTCTTTCTCTGTCTCTCTGTCCGAGATTAAACTTGGTCTGCTGGAGTGTTCAGTTCAGCCGGCCAAGCATGCCAGCTACTCACAATAGCTACCAACAAGGTGAAATGCTTAGAGCAACAGCAACAAATCATGAGGAGATCTTGCCAGATGTAGGTTGTATCTGATCTCTACCTGGTGGTGCAGAGAAGTCAGAGTAATCGGTTCATCAAATGTATTGAGAGGGCTAGTTATAGAGCGGAGGATCCGTTTTTGGGACCGAGTCGGCAAAAGTTTAAAAATGATTTCCCAGAAACACCATGTGCTTAACATACGAATATATTCATTAAATTAAACAAAAACGAAAATGTATGCACACATGGAAGTGGGATAATTGTCTCTACTTTAAAAGGTGTCACGGACACATTTAAGCACAATGTCGTCTCTAGCCGACGATACCCAAGTGACGCAACACAACCTAACTTAACACTGTTAATATAACACCCCGAGCAATAGCGGCTGAGTAACATCAGTACCGTATGCAAGGGACAATTTGGAGCTCGGGGGAATTATTTGCATGCACATAAGACACGTGCATGCATAAAGTATTTTAAATACGTATTTTATTTCTCAATTACATATATAAAGTAGGTTAGGTGTGGAGCCGGAAGCTCCGCGACCGTGAATGCCATCATGTCCAAAGATGTTGAAGAGTGGTTAAAAGCACAACAATCACCTTCTGTGGTTGTTCAATAAATCTCTGAACTGTATGTTTGACAGATCTCTCACCCTGTCCATGGAGGACAGAAGAAAATGTATATATGCAGGTTAGCATTGTAAATGTGTGGCCACGTCTGTGGTAGAAAATAATAATAATAAAAATAATAAAAAGAATGGTTCAGCCAAATAAGTAACTTAGTGACACGTGTTATGTCCAAAAACAGTTTTAATAAAAAACAAATAAAAAAATTGACCTCATACATAATGAAATGGGTAGCTTTATCATTTCATAAGAAAAAAATTAGAGAAAATATAATAATTCTGGAAAACTTGGCTTATTAGGCAAATCGGGCCTTGCATAGTAGGCCGAGAAGTGCATTCTGGCTACTAGGTACGACATATATATATATATATATATATATATATATATATATATATATATATATATATATATATATATAATAAAAGTGACAATATCAGTATAAAACATTACATAATGTGTAAATTTTTTTCAGCCATCCTGAATATCCGTTCCATATCCCATATTAGAAAACATACAACAACTGCAGGAGCTTCGTGACTGAAGAACCACCTTAGTACTACATGTAACATCATCTGAGGACTATATGTAGCACCATATGAAACACTGTCCGAAGACTACCCGTAGCACCATATGAAAGACTATCCGAAGACTGCCCGTAGCACCATATGAAAGACTATCTGAAGACTACCTGTAGCGCCATTTGATGGATCATCTGCATCAATAGTTTTATTCAACATGCTCAAAAATGTATTATAAATAATAAAATTCATTTTGAGTTCATACGAAAAAAACAGCCCGTCCTTCAAAAATGGGGAGGTAAATAAATAATAAATAAATAAATTTTTATTCAGGTAAGGTACAAGGTGTGATACAAAGTTGATGGATTTATAGATAGAGCTAGTACATACAATGCCTAAAACCACTATTACGCAAAGCATTTCGGACAGGAAAACATTAAAGACTAAAACTTAATACTAATTGAGTTTAAAGTATAAAATGTGTTGAGAACAAATACAAATAAAAATAAGAAAGGGGGAACATGGCTGTAACAGCCATGTTCATGTAAATGTAATAGCCCCATAAGTGCAATTAGGTACTATGCACGACAGTCAGGAATTGTACTTATTTACACTTATATTAAATCGTACTGTCAAATATATTGTGAATATTTGAGTTTACCTGAAAATCTGAATAGAAAACCACGACCTAACCTAACCGTCTTAGTTTTTGATGATAAGCATTTTATTGTTTCTTAATTACAATTACTACTTAACCTGTAGCTGTATTGATTATACAGTTTTATATAACAAATAAAACAAAACTAAAATATGTTAATAAATTGTAAAGTAACTCAGAATATTTTCAAATTTTGTATAAAATCTCTATTTAATAAAACTGAAAAAAATCCTGATATTTAAAACTTGTGATCAGTGAACTGAATATCAAAACTTCAACCTATAAAAGAATTATGTTTACGTCTGGTATCATACTACTTGTGTAAAGGAGGAAATGTAGATGTTTTTTTCTCTGAATGTTTATTAATATGTTTATTGTTTGTGATGTGTGTATATGTATGTATTAACACGATGTACTGAACGGGGTGAGAATAGCTTGTGCTACCTCATCCCTATGTGTGTATTTTACCTCAATAAACTTATTTCAATTTCATCCTATAATTCAGAGTGTCTTAACAGAAAACGAGGAGAATAAATGGGGTGATAAATGTAACAATCCCATAAGTGCAATTAAGTATTACGTATGACAGTCAGGAGATGTACTTATTATACTAAGTATTAAAACGTACTGTCAATTCGGAGGAAGGGTTGCAGCCGAAAAAAAAATATTCCGAGAGGGTGTACAGATGAAGAATAAATAGCTTGCTGAGAGTTGTTGAAGTCGAAGAACCAGAGTCGGCAACCTGTCCTCTTAAAAAGAACGTCGCTTTTGGCCGTATGGCCGAATTTGGACGTAATTTGAAAATGAAAATAAATTTGGGATTTTTTTCAACAACAGTAAGTTAAGGGTCCTCTGATAGGTTAGGTGGGCAGGAAATTCTCATTAAATTTCAAACCGTTATGAAAAACGTGAATTGAAAGTCATCTATTCTAACCTTACAGAGTCGGCCGGTCGACTCAAACAGAAAACGGAACAGTACGTCACTTTTGTGAGTCGATTTCATTTCAAATTACGTCCAAATTTGGCCATAGTGCGCATACGAGCGAAAAGTGACGTTGTTTTTAAGAGGACGGGTTGCATGCGTTAATGTTCGAAGCCTAACCTTATTCAGAATAAATCTAACATTAGCTACCACAACCTCAATCTGCTACGAAAATTGTTTATTGACCATCTAACAAGAGTACTTTAGTTGTGGACATAACCACGATTAAATTACACCCGGTATATGTTCACCATGATGTATATATCCAATGGGCTAAAAATAATCAAGCAATACTGCGTACTTAATAGGTTCATCTAATCTTATCAAGAGTGCTGGTTACTCTGGGTCTCAAATGAGTAATCAAGTGGCGCCTTAATTTTTATTTTAGATAAATGCATGATCAAGGTGATAATGCCATATTGTACCAAGAGACGAAAGCGGCACTTCTCAGCACCGTGGGAAATCACCACTTTTCACTTTTCACCATACTTTCTCATCCAAGAAGATAATTGAAGGTTAACCAAAGTTTCGGCTTGAAGCAAAGTTTTTTTTTAAGCAAGCCTGGATGGATGACTAGTACTTCCACTGGGAGAGTGACTGTAGCCCTTCCACAACAGCCCACTACATAGGTGTGACTGTAGCCCTTCCACAACAGCCCACTACATAGGTGTAACTGTAGCCCTTCCGCAACAGCCCACTACATAGGTGTGACTGTAGCCCTTCCGCAACAGCCCACTACATAGGTATGACTGTAGCCCTTCCACAACAGCCCACTACATAGGTGTGACTGTAGCCCTTCCGCAACAGCCCACTACATAGGTGTGACTGTAGCCCTTCCACAACAGCCCACTACATAGGTGTGACTGTAGCCCTTCCACAACAGCCCAGTAAGTGGATGTGACTCGCCCATTCCCAGCCGGGTACTGAGCGGTGCGACTCTAGCCCCCTTCCACTACCGTCAACTGGATGGGAATTAGGTCCATAATAACCGAAATGACATAACTTGTTATAATGATATATGAATTGTACTAATTTCGTTTAAACTTCTGAAGGCTAGTATTTGTAATTTAAGGAAAATAAAACAATTAGATAAAGGATCACGATTATGCAATATATAACCTTCCTGACACGTCATCACGCATCAGACAAGAATAACACCACATTTAATTATTTGGCAAACAACCATGTTTAGTAAAGTCATTATGTCCATGGGGTAGCCCCAAGGTTGGGGTGGCTCTGGCAGCTGATAAACGACAGCTGTATGTACTGTACACAAAGAGGTATACCCCCATTTTTCGGTGCATATATAAACCGAGTTTACTTTCGACCTGGACTATGTTCATGGCTAAAGTGTACTTGTTGGTTGGTCAATAAGCTTGTGGCATCGCCTTAATAACCATCGTGCAGTACATAGGCCTCTAAGTCTAACGCCAAACGAAACTAATAAATCTGAGTGTAGCCTACTATTATGAGAGCATAAATGTACTTAGCTCTTAACATAGTTATCCATATAAATTTATATTAGCCACTGTATTGATATGATCATATTTCACGTAAAAACCAAAGCTTAATAATCATATATTTACTTTTGTAAATAAAGATCAATATAACAAAGTTTCGAGTGAAAGATGCTCGTCCCCCGAGACATTCCGGGGAGTCTGTTGTTAATGTCACTCAAACAGTTAAGTCTTTGTGTCAACTGTTAGGCCACGCGGGTGGTATTGAGTGGGACACGGACGGCATTAAACTTGTTATCTTTTATGTAAGTTTAAAATGCAGGAATAACACCAGTGAAAACTGTCTATTTGAACTCCGATCTATGATTAATTTGAAAAATGTGCCATACTCCATCTAAAAATGGAGTTTTCTTCAGGCTTCAGCTGTGTATACCCTTCGTAGATTGGAAAGTAAACTATAGTACCTTAAATAACCGTCGCTATTGATACGTCCAACACCTTACTTAAACCATAATTAGTATTCCATTTAAATGTCATTAGTGTCCCCTTCCCCCCCCCCTCGCACTTCTCCAAATGGTCATCCTCTCCTCCCTATGACCACCGATCCATACTGGTGTGGCCTGGTAACTAACCAGCACTTCTCTGATAAGCCTTGCTCAAGCACTGGTAAGTAGTCTGCCCTGTACCCTCGAGGAGGTTGGACGTGTGCAGCCGACTGTGTACTGCCGTTGTTATCCAAGATGTCGACTAAGGTGCCAACAATCACCATGACAGACGGGAGGAAGATGCCGGCCGTGGGCCTCGGCACCTGGATGGTAAGACACATCTAGAAGGTTAAAAAGTTTACTATGTAAATGAATGGTTTAAATTTTATTAAAGGTTCCAATAGTTAGGATGCTTGACTTGTTTTATGGGTAAAATGTATGCAACTACAAAAATCCATTTATGTATGCTTCGAGAAGAGCAGTTACTGACACTCAAAGGCCAGAAAGAAGGATTATAAAAAGCTATGACATGTTTAGGACCGAGAATTATATGTACGGGCAGCATAAAATATCCACTAGACAGAGTGACATTGTCATTGCCGGAATTAGGTTGAGATATCGATATCTATGGCAGGTGGCTGCAAGTAAAGACTCCCCCAGTGGGGAACATTCCAACTGTAAACTATGTGAACAAGAGCTGGGACAAACTCTCCAGCACTATGTGATTGTCCTGTTCTCAGTTATTTCAGACCAATGGTATGAGGTACTTTTGAGCTCTGTAATTACTTCATACACTCAGGACTATTGAAAGATATTCTTGTGCTGTGCCCAGAGTTTGCTAGTGGAGGGAGAACAAAACATTGATGATTCTCATCATTAGCATGATATTCTTCGTTTGAAACTTTTAGTAATGAACAACTATTTTCATGATAATGCTAAATTTTAATTTGTGTAATTCTCAGACTGTAGGCTTATGACAAATTATCCTTAGATAGGTTACCTGTTTGTAAAATTCAATAAGCCAAATTTATGTGGTGTAATAAATAACATAAGATAGACTTAGGGTTAACCATTGACACTGTCCTAGATACTAGGTCCTTCAAGGGCCGCCACGAGGAGGTTGGCAAATTCAACACACGCACATGATGTGTACAGAAGTAATTGAGTTTCGCAAGGTCGCCAAATTGGAGAAGATGATCAGTGGCGCTGTCTTGAACTTTGTTTCATGTGAAATTCGTTTTCCTACCTCGATAAAATGTGGGTCGGATTTAGAGCAGTCCGGAATGTTCTTAGAAAGTGTTACTCCTCCACGGACAACGAATTAACAGAACAAATTCAAAGACAGGACAAAAATTATAATAGTTAACAAATGTACTACATAAAGCAGTGGTGTGGTGGAGGTAGACTCCATACACAGTTTCAAATGTAGAATTGATAGAGATCAGTAGGCTCAAGGAACTGGACACCAGTTGATTGACGGTTGAGAGGCGGGACCAAAGAGCCAAAGCTCAACCCCCGCAAGCACAACTGGATGAGTACAAAAGCTCGTGGCCGACTAAAAAGACCTAGCGGACAGTTCAGTTTAACTTATAAATCACGTCTCCTCAGGAGTCAGGTCAAGGTGTTTACTGTATATGAGAAACCATTATATTCCACTCTTTTTTCCTTCACTTGAACGACGATTCACTTCATGTGTTATATTTCCTGAAGGAGGGAGGGGGGGGGGAGGGAGAAACATGTATCTTCGGCGAGTGATTTAGTGAGGCGCGCTTGAATTAATCAGCTGATTTATTCATGGTTAGAATAAAGTGGGCATTGGAGTGCTGTTATCCTTATCTCTCCTTGGGGTGTCATTCAGACTGATGGCTAGTTGAATATACGTTGACTCGGTTACAGCAGAAGCACTTATGCCTTGTGATAGAATGGGTACAAGGAAGGAAAGGTTTCCATTTGATTTTCCCCATTGACGGGAACAGGAAACCTGTTAGGCATATCGAAGCTCTCCTATGCCAATGTCTGTCTAGTTAACCAGAAGGCACTACGGGCTCACCATAGCCCGTGCTACTTGGAACTTTATGTTCCAGGTAGCGAATCTTTAACAACAACAACAACAGTTAACCAGGAAAATCTGACCAGCAGACATCACTGGAGACATAATAATTGTATCAACTCTGGAAAATAGATTGTATGGCAATGACGTGTAAACACAACTGAGAGACACACTTGCACATGGACTCGTGTAAGAGCAAATAGACGGACACAATACCAACATTTTGATCATGTTATCACTTACGTGTTCCTCCCCTCCTGCGCCAGGCCCGAGACGAGGAGATGCGGGCGGCGCTGACCGTGGCCCTGGAGTGTGGCTATCGTCATGTTGACACAGCCTATTACTACCAGAACGAGAAGGTGATTGGCCAGGTGCTTCATGAGTGGCTCTCCAGCGGCAAGGTCACCAGAGAGGAGCTCTTCATCACCACTAAGGTCAGCTGCGCCAATGCTCAGTTCCATTGTCACGTTATTTTAAATGCAACTCTTTTTATAATTTTAAATTAACAAATATATATATAATTTGTTTGCCTCCTCGAAGCTATATTATTAAGCTCGCTCTTTTTTTATTTATATTTTTCAAGGTAATTGCTTACATAACCATTGTTCAAAGTCATAAGGGAGACAAGTGTCTACATATTTTTCATATTATCGTAATCAGATCATTCTGCATTTATGCAGGTACCCTAGACTATGTGAAGGATTACACAGGGCGTGACACGAGCTACATATGAAATTCTAAGAATCTCCATCTCGCAGAATGGACAGTCACACATGCATAAAACACACATAAACTTGAGCAAGTATTCATTAATATCCACGAGGATACAGAAGAAAAAATTAATATCCAGATATATAAAATTATTGTTTAGTTTGAAGTTTCAGATGTAAAAATATACTTATTTGTTTACAAAGGCAGAAGTCACACTTGTATTTTGGAAGGTGGTGACGTGAAACGCGACTCAAACACCTTTAAATAGTAGGAAATGTTCTTGTTCTGCAGAATTGCTATTCGTAAGAACAAACCAAGGGTAAACCTTGGGAAAAGCTGAGGTAAACCTAACGTAAAGTACCTTGAACGTTAAGGGGATCAGTATTGTTAAGTAACACGGAACTTCTACACTTATTAGAAAAGCTTGTAAACGATACGTGCCAAGTAATGTGTGGGGGGGGGGGGACACTCGCTTGCCTGCTGTCATTTAGACTAATATGCGCCTGGGCCTTCCATGTAGAGCCCCTGATGCATCTGGAATCAGCCAAACCCCAAGTCGACCACATCTATCCTCATGCCAAAATAAATACAATCACATACCGACCCTAAAAACTACGCGTCAAATAAAACGATCGCTGCAACAAAAGGCTTAGTGATGCATATATATCCCTTATCAGTACTCTGCCTCTCGAACCGCTGACCAGTAGACAAGGAGCAGGGTTAATTATACCCTGACACTATCTCTCCCACTAAAATCACCTCCTCTCAAGTTATTCGTCTTTTGTGCCTACTGCCCCTCTCTCCCACTGCGTATTTTTGCATTGTGTAAGTCCAAGGAATTATACTCCAAGATTTGTATGCAGCTTCTCGCTGTATATACACTGAGAGGTTACTTTAGAATTTGAATAGGTTCAGGACAAAAGTATGCCTGCTGGTCAATAAGGACTCGTGTGGCAAGCCTAACACCGACCCAAACATTATTCCAGACGTACATCAGTAGGTGAAGCCCACTTTCCTGTATATATATTTTGAATGTGTACTTTAATTTCAACTTATGTTCACTACGATAAACTATTCCTACTGGTTGTTAAGCTTTAAGTCCAAAAGTAAATTAAACCTTTTTTTCCTCTATCCCACACAACACAAGAATGCACAGAGAGGAAAAGCCAAGGAAAACGGGAAGTTAGCAGTAAATGCAAGCTATTCTACAAACTCAAGAATATAGTGCCAATATAATTAAGGGTTTTTAAGGAATTTGCAGAGCTGAATAACCATTTTTCTGTCAGAAAAGTAATCAATAGGATTCCATAATCAGTCCTGCTAACACCAGAATTTATTATCAACACAACAAATTAAGTTGTATAGCTGAATGGCCGTTCTTTCTGTCCTGACAGCTTCCAGAAATAGGGATCCGAGCGAGTGATGTGTCAAGGTTTTTGAAGAAGTCACTGGAGTGGCTGCAGCTGACCTATGTTGACCTATACCTCGTCCACAAGCCTTACAGCTTTCTTGGTGAGTCAAATACAAATGATCATGACTTAAGCATGTACTTGCTGGTTCGTCAGTAAGCTATTGTTGCGGTCGTCATAACCCTTCAGAGGTTGATAGGCCTCAAGCCTAACACCAAATGTTAGGAATGACAATGTAACTTTAACGTGAAACCATTAGTGTAATTCCCCCATTGACACTAAGATTTGGATCCACTATAGTAGCCCTCATATTAATGGTCCACATCTTAATACAGGGAAAGATGACGATGATATCAACCCAGTGGGGCGGGAAGGCGACGCTGGCCTAGACTTGACAACAAACATTGAAGATGTTTGGAAAGCCATGGAAGAACAGGTAAGCTACGTGTGAATGACTGACATGAGGACGTAAGTCAGTTAGTTATCTGGATGAAGCACTAAGCTAGTATAATTACATACAACTTGAATGAGATCTGGGCTATAAAAACTAAGTGACGGAAATACCAATCCATTTTGACTTTCGGGAATCGAACGTCGATCTCGCAAGAAATGAGGCTGTCGATATAAGTACCGACCAGTCCGAGTAGATATAAGGAAAGGGAGAAAAATATAATAGTTGATTAGTGGGAACTTCTATAAGATATGAGAGAGAGAGAGTTAACGAAGCATGACACAGGTATCCTCAACAGGTGGATGCTGGGAGGGCAAAATCCATCGGTCTCTCCAACTTCAACAGTGTCCAGACCAAGCGGATCATGAAGAGTGAGACACAAATTCATCTCTTAGTAAAATATATATATTTATATATATATTAAGCTTTTTCTATATAATTCATATAGATTCCAAAATAATATCCGCAGTTCATCATTTGAACAAATATGGTATTCATATTAGTTATTTTTAAATTTGTTTATCATGAACTAAAGATTTTCATAAATATTGACAAAATTAATCAAGTATTCACAGAAAACGAATTATAAATCTGCACAGAAAACGAACCATAAATACTCATAGAAAATGACAAATTATGCAGGAACTAAACAAATTAATATTTTTACGTTTCTAAAATTACTATGCAATGTGTTTAACTTATTGTAATGTTCTTTAAAGATATATTATTTATAATTATTTTCGTAAATAATACATACTCATACATATAATACTTTATTTAATGTATATCCTGTATTTTATCTTTTAAACTTTTTTTCTTTTTAATATTAGATGATTTAGAGTAGTTTTTTTTTAATTTAACCAAAATAATTGCGTGTGTGTATGTGTGTGGTGGCAGTGTGTCGGGTGCCGCCAGCCAACATGCAGGTGGAGATACACGCCTACCACCAGCAGAAGGAGCTGAGGGCTCTCTACTCCAGCTTCGGCGTCTCTGTCTGTGCCTACGGCCCCATCGGCGCCCCCTACTTGTACTCAGCGTAGGTTATTCACCCCTCGACGCTACCAACGTCTTTTGTAGGGTCACGGCTGTTCAAGTGGTTAAGGTACCATGTACGCCAGTTTCATAGTGCTTCTGGCTGTCTGGGTTCGAGTCACTTCTGGGGTGTGGAGTTTTCAGTTTCAAGCACACTATATATATATATATATATATATATATATATATATATATATATATATATATATATATATATATATATATATATATATATATATATATTGTATGCTTTGTTTATGACATTAGTTTTTAGTAATCATTTTATTTATTTATACACTTAAAATTTAATTAATAATTATCAATTTTGATAAATATTTCAGACATGTTATCGTTGAAAATGGAATAGCTACTATAGGTCTTCTTTATACAGCTAAGTCATATTTAGTTTTTTAGTGTGAGCAAGATGGTTGAACATGTACTGTCTTCACAGGACCAGTGATCATCCAGCTCTCGTGAATAACCCGGTGGTGACAGCCATTGCCAGTCGTCTCAAGAGGACGCCTGGACAGGTTCTCATCCGTTTCCTCTTACAGCATGGCATGGCAGTCGTCCCTAAATCATCCAACCCAGAGCGCATCCGTCAGAACATTGAGGTGATATAGTCATTGTAAACATTAGCTTCGTCAAGTCTTTTTAAATCATTAGCCATCTTGATGTTCTTCATTCTAGGTATCTTTAATCATCGAGCAGTGACAATGAAGGTGGTAGTAAAGATGGTGGTGGAGGTGGAGAGTGTTGTGATGAAATATGTAAGTGTTGGATTCATTGCCTGTCAGCCGTCGTACAAGCCTGTTTTACAATTCTGTCTGCAAGCATACTGTATGCCCCTAAACTTCGGGACAAATTTCAGAAAAATGCAAAATTTTTCCTGTAGGTGTTCGACTTCAAGCTGACCAGTGAAGATATGTCAGCTCTTGAAGCACTGGACCGGGGCCCAGACGGAAAGATTTACTGCTTCGAGGATTGCAAAAGGTTCGTATTTTCTGTTCTCTGCTTCCCCCCACCACTCCTACACCCAAGCTCTCTCTCTCTCTCTCTCTCTCTCTCTCTCTCTCTCTCTCTCTCTCTCTCTCTCTCTCTCTCTCTCTCTCTCTCTCTCTCTCTCTCTCTCTCTCTCTCTCTCTCTCTCTCTCTCTCTTTCTATTTATATTTTTATGCTTAGGGTTACTAAAAGGTTAAAGGTTAAAAACACGTAAAATTTCTTAGCTTAAATTTGCACATTCTGAAATCTAATAAGGCTTACAAAATTGGTGCCAATTTGAAGCTGAGAACGACTGTGGCCATAAGGATAATAACAGTTCATAAACTAGACAGTGGATAGCTACAAAATTTCGTACACTAACAACCCCCCCCCCCACCTCCCAATCATTTTCTACTCATTTTATCCTAATTTCCATTATCAATGGAATAATAAATATTAATATGGGAATATTTTGATTTTTCAGCCATCCTGAATATCCGTTCCACATCCCATTTTAACGTGTTTGTGAAAAGCTGATCATCACTGGACGTGAGTCCTGTTTTATCGTCTGACCCGCATCTGAGGACTGCCTGTTATACCATTTGAAGGATCCCCTTAAGGAATACCTGAAGGATCACGTGTGGGTTTTCTTCCAAATGTTTCAGAGATAATAATCATCACTGCACAAAAAGTTAAATAAAAATTGCCAATAAATGTTCAGAGCTCTATAACACGATATAATTACAACTTGAAGAAATGATAACATGAAAATATATAAAAGACTTAACAACCTATTTGCAAAGACGAGTTGGAGTATAAACAAAGGAATTGAGGACTCGAGCTGTTCAAATCAAGTCTCATTTAGCCAGTATGAATGTTTTCCAAGATCCAGTATAAAAGAGCAAGACGTCAGTTCAGTCTTGCCAGTGTAAGTGAAAGAGTGACTCTTGTACTTGTTACCCACGCAACACGGAGGATTTAATTTGTCGACTATTATTGTAAGGTAAGAAATACCCATGTGTTCACAGATTCGGTGTACTACGGTTTCGTGAGGTGTTGCCAGCGTATCTCGAACACTTTCAAATATGAACCAAGCCACTTTGAAAGATAAAGCTATGGTAGAAGGTCTCTTGCTAGAAATAAGTACCATTAATATGATAACTGATGAATTTAAAGGAAAAAACTATGTATGGGTAATTGTTCCTCAAAATTTTACGAATGCTTATACTAATATGAAAACATACAGCCAGAGAAATTGAATTTAACTAATTTTGTACGCATATTTTGTCTCTGAATGGGATTCGAGCGTGCGTAGGTAGGTCTGCTGCATCACGGAGCCGCACCAGGGTACACCTCGCCGGGTGCTGCGCGGCAAGCAGCTACGCCGCAACACTTTGCTAATTCACGTTATTGTAAATTTCTCTTTATAAGAAACGGGTGTTGTAGGGTTGTTAAGAGAGCTCCAACTTTGACCACCGGTTTGTAAAATCTTTAATTTACCAATTTTGTCACAGACAGGACGTAAGTAAAGAAGGCCAAGAAACCTACATCTATTCGTTACAACGCTCTTGTGGTGTTCGCCATATGTAGCCTAATGCCATTTTGGAGGATAGGATGGAATTAAGATATAATTAAATTGTGAGAAAAACAATTATTACACAGTATGCTAAAATTTATGAAGGCATCTTAGGGGTCAACTGCACCTTGGACGAGCACTGCCTGAGAGTGGGTTATTATAAAATGTCATCCACACTTCTGTAGAAATGAACATTCCATTCACCTTGTGAAGACTCGAACCGTGGACTGCGCTGGACCGACAGTCCAGTAGGTCGAAGCATATATCGACCGAACTATTGAGTAGTTTCTTTCCTTATTAAGGAAATTTTCCTTATTAAGACTACTCAATAGCTCGGTCGATAGAGCTTCGGCCTCACACAAGTGAGGTCCACGGTTCGAGTCTCCTAGAGCCCAGGGGAATGGAATGGGTTATAATGTTTTGTTATGTCTGAAAAGATACTCCAAATTAAAGGCCTTATAAAACATACTAAAAACTTTTATCATTTGAGTAATCATTGTATTCTGGTCCTCCGTATAATAATAATAAACTATTGTTATTATTATCCGACTGGCTGTGTATACCACCTGTGGTTCAGAATATTCCACACTTTCTCTACCCGGTCTTATTATTCTCTAACTTTCAGCGTAGGTATGGTGTTTATTTACTAGGATGCGGTAGTCGGCTTGCAATCTCTGATTATTTACGTAATTTTGTTCTCCTGGTGTCATCAGCGATTGGTATAGTAAGCAGTATACCCTATAATTGGGATCCTTTCACAGGGGTATACACCGAGACGTGTCACCCGCTTCTCGGTGTAAAGTAAACACTGGGAGTTTACTTTAGTGTTGGACCATCGGCAAAGCTAAAGCATCTTCCTGGTTGTTCAGTAAGCAGTTGTGGTTCCTTAATAACCCTCCGGACTCTCCAGAAAATTATAGGCCCTAAGGCCAACACCAGACCAATTAGGATCCAGCCGAACATGTACTCACGTTATAAGTACACTTATACGGCCGAGTTTGCTTCAGTTCCTAATTATATTCAGGGTTAAAATATACTTGCTGGTTCGGTTGCAAGCTTTTGTGGTGGCCTTAATGACCCTCCCGAGATTGCCTTGAGCCAACACCTAACAATGAGGATGTTACTAGGATGTGCTTGGATACACAGATGTGCAACCCGCTTCTTAGTGCATATAAACGAGTTTATTTTAGTCAGAAACTATAGTTGTGGCTTAATAACCCTCCCGCACTTAATAGGCCTTAAGACCAACCTCAAATCAATGGGGAAAATGAGTGGCGGTTTTACTCGTGGCCCTGTCCCAAAATCTTGGGAATTAAATCAATACAATCCGTTAAACCCGCTTTAATACACTTGTATTAAGGAATACGAGTGTTCCCATTATACACCCCCTTTGCAGCACACCACATTCTTCCTTCACCTATTCCGATGAGTTTTAAGTACAAGTACCACTACATATATTAGCGTCCAGATGAACAATTAATCAGCAGTCATAGTTTACAAGCCTTCGATAGGTTAGATGGGTTTGGGTTGGCTAGATTCGGACACGTCTGCTTAAAACATTTCAAATTTGCCGCTTGTCGAATTTTGGAAACAGGTTTCGTAAACAAACACTTCACCTGTGACGTCACACTAACGGCAACAGCGTCATTATTTTATTCGTCAGTAACACTGGTGACGTCATGAAAGTGTCTTGTGTAAAGCTCTACCACAAATCACCATAACACGGCGGGCTCACCATAGCCCGTGCTACTCGGAACTTTGTGTTCCAGGTAGCGAATCTTAAACAACAACAACAAACAACACCAAAACATTTGTTATTTGTTTTATAAGAAAGACAAAAAGGCAAAATCAAACACTATAAAACATAATTATTATTTATATCACTGACCTGCCCGCAGGAAGCATTTTACAATATATAAAAATAATGATTCACTTTGTTTTTACAAAATATGGCTTTAACAACTGTAACAAACAATACAGTAATATATTTGGGATTGTTCAAAGTCTTCAAAACGTATTAATGTACGATTGCTCGAATATGTTTTGTATGCATGTATATATGACTACGTATATGTATGTGTGAAGTTATAGAACGAGTTTAAGACTAGAAATATATATTATTTTTACATGGACATTGCCATAGAACGGTAATAAGGCATTCATACGGTTTTACACCATTCACACATTTGCACATGTTGGCTTATGCTAAGGCATAAAAACAGAATATGGTCTTAATGGGTCTCTCTCTCTCTCTCTCTCTCTCTCTCTCTCTCTCTCTCTCTCTCTCTCTCTCTCTCTCTCTCTCTCTCTCTCTCTCTCTCTCAATATTAGATAATATCACAATAGTTGTTAGCAATGTTGCCAACTAAACAAGTCTACTAATAAACAAACTACTAAGTTTGAATCAACAATTTCTAAGCGACAGTGACAGTATAGATATCAACAATTAACTAGTTATACTTACAAATTCCTAACTTAGCCTGGTACAAAGAGTATTTACAAATTATCCCAGTTAGCTTAAAATACAAGACGTGGCACTGTATGTTAAGGATATCAAGCTATCATTTGTGTACACAATGATAAATGTTCAATTTTTTTAATATAAATCACTGATGAGTTTGAATCTTCGCCTCTCGTTATTTAATTTGCTTTTGAGGATTTCATTGGGGGGGGGGGGGTTTATCGTGTTTACATAAGCAGTGATTGGTCGATGATATCAGCCAACCAGCTCTCAAAAATAAGTTACCAGCCAATGAAAGCCTAATATAAACAATCAGTCAACCAATGAGAGACGACGCCTAAACACAGCGAACCAATACCATTAATTCATCGTATTATTTTTATACAACCATGCTGGTCAACATACACTAAACAAAAAATTAAGTATGTTACGTAGAGCTAAACCAATTTGGCTATTAGAGACAAGGGTGAAGAAAGGCTGTAAAAGAACAATAGATAATATAACTTCTGACAATTAGAAAAGTAACAATTTTAAGAATATTACAAAATAATTTTCGAAGGCCATGAATTAATGACTAAAAAAGTCAAGCACTATATATCTAGTGCTAGCAAGACAAGGCGTTTAAATCAAATAGATCACATGCTTCTACTTCCTAAGGACAAAGGGGGGGTAGAAATAGCCTAAGCTACTCTATCCCTTTGAGATGTATTTCTTTCTCATCTCAATAAACATACTTGAACTTGAACTAAGGACAAAAATTTACTCGTAATTGGGACCAGTATTATGAAAATAATACGTATGTCTTCTAAAAATGTTTTAAAACCTAAAACTTAAGAGGGCATACACCAAATTACGTTAGTGTTCAAAATCCCCCGCGTGTAGCCTTGTCTCCTAGTTGGGTGTTTGTCATCTCCAATAGAAGACTGGAGATTCGACAATTGTTTCCTAATCAATATTTTGCATTTACCTATTTGAACAAATTCGAAGTTTTTTTTTATATTTGCTTCAGGAAGGATTTGATGGATATCTAGAAATACATGATTTAGTGCAGTTCATAGAAATAACTATAATAAAGTGTGTGAGAGACTGCATAATAGATAATCTCACTAGTGGTTTATAGAGAGCGTAACTCTCTAACGATCGAGAGTTATCAACCCTGTGGTTGATAACTGAATACTACATTACACACACATTCCCATACAAAAATAGAGCCTTAGAATAGGCTCCTTGGCTGAGTCCTACATTATTATTACTATTTCTATTATAAATATTATTATGCACGAAGTAACACTATGGCAGTACATGTGTCGAAGAAGGCTGTGCTTGACACGTTTACAAGGAAGATTTTTATGCCAAAGTTGGATGTGACCTTGAGAACCTGTCACGCTTGTTTTCTATCACAGTTTAAGGCTTTCTTCAGTTTTCTTGTGTTATTATTGTTGGTTTCTCACGTCAGAAGGAAATAAAGAGCCCTGAGAGGGAGTGACAACTGCGCCTCTCATGATCTCCATCAGGAACGAAAGTGCCTTCCGGTTCCTTAAGCACCACTAGGTCCCTTGTTTTCAGAAGGTCTTGCCGGAGACGGTGCTGAAGGCGTGGAAGGAGGTATCGGGGGGATAGGTGGAAGTCGTGGAGGGGATGGTCCTGACGCGGGCGCAGAGGACGGCTGTTACGACTGAGGAGGCCACTAGGACGACGAACATGGTCACCAGTCCAACCACAAATGACGACACACTCATGCACATGTCCCCAGGGCTTACTCCGGCATCTTCTGCAAACAGGAAAATGTATAAGGAAAAAATATCATGGATGTGCGTTATGAGGCTGTACGTTGCGCGAGTTTAGCAACCAGCGTGTAGCCTGACGAAAAAAAGCCAAATTAGAAAAGTGTATTCTTTACCAAATAGGAATTATGCTGCAAGATGTGCTTGTACCTAACCGGATCCTTGGGACAGAAGGTACAATCACAGACGGATCCTTGGGACAGAAGGTACAATCACAGACGGGTCCTAGGGACAGAAGGTACAATCACAGACGGGTCCTAGGGACAGAAGGTACAATCACAGACGGGTCCTAGGGACAGAAGGTACAGAGGAGGAGCCCGCAGAGGGACGGGCACCGTGAGAATGGCGGGCTTACTAGTGACAAGGGTGATGGGCGAGTCCCGTATAAGGGAGTAATCCTCGGGGGAGATGACTCTCAGCTTCCTGGCCAGACGCACTGCCTCGCCGCTACTCTCATTTTTGTTGTTGCTGCTGATGCTATTCCTCGTGTTGCTGCCTTCTGACCTCTCCTCGTCTTCCTGCTCCTCTTGCACACCCCATCTGCTGCTGCTCCCCCGGCCGAATACAGGCAAAGAGCGCCGCTTCCGACTAACCTGTATGGTTAGAGGCAAAATACGTTGATTGGGGATAACCGGGGAGAGTTTAATTATTCTGACTTCACACGAGCATATTCATTATGTTATATTCACCTAAAAGAATTTTTTATATAATAGTGAAGTAAAACTGACAAATTGTAATCTGGATAGGCTGTATACATACACACACACAAATGAGTGCCCAAATGAGCCACAGAGATATTAGAAAGAACTTTTTTAGTGTCAGAGTGGTTGACAAATGGAATGCATTAGGAAGTAATGTGGTGGAGGTTGACTCCATACACAGTTTCAAGTGTCGATATGATTGAGCCCAATAGGCTCAGGAACCTGTACACCTGTTGATTAACGGTTAAGAGGCGGGACCAAAGAGCCAAAGCTCAACCCCCGCAAGCACAACTAGGTGAGTACACATACTCACAACCCCATAAACCTACCCCTATTATCAGAGGTTCGCATAAGCTGGATAAAATCGTTGACCAGACCACACACTAGAAAGTGAAGGGACGACGACGTATCGGTCCGTCTTGGACCATTCTCAAGTCGATTGTGAATGGTCCAATCGACTTCAGAATGGTCCAGGACGGACTGAAACGTCGTCGTCCCTTCACTTTCTAGTGTGTGGTCTGGTCAACGTACTTCAGCCACGTTATTGTGACTCGTCGCCTGCATATGGATAACATCATCAGTATCCAAAACATTGGTAAGAATGAAAAGAGCATTTTGGAACTTAGGAAGGATGCCTTCAGTGCATTGTGCACGACTTGTGTACAATGCTGAAGTATCCAGAGAACACTGTTTAAACATCTGAGGTCCGCGGTTGTTCAACACCCTCCCAGCGAGCATAAGAAATATTACCGGAACAACCGTGGACACCTTCAAGAGGAAACTAGATTGTTTCCTCCAAGGAGTGCCGGACCAACCGGGCTGTGGTGGGTATGTGGGCCTGCGGGCCGCTCCAAGCCTAGTGGACCAAACTCTCACAAGTCAAGCATGGCCTTGGGCCGGGCTTGGGGAATAGAAGAATTCCCAGAACCCCATCAACCAGGTATCAACCAGGTATCCTGGGACTACCAGACAGTACTCACCCCGTCCTCGGGACACACTGGACAGCCGTCAGTACACAAGTCCACTTGACACTCAATGTAGACATCATTCTTGTCCGGGAACTTAAAGGCCTGAAATAATATCAACAAAATGCTTCTCTAATCCGTCGAATTTGATCAAATATTTTAATATTATTGTAATGCAACGAGCTTTAAAATATATATTTTGTGACAAAAATAGAGTGCAAAAATGTTTGTCCGTGATGTCCTCACAGACATAGAAGATTAATTACCTGGAAGTGTGAGTACGCGAGGACGGGAACCTTGGGGATACCTGTGTCTCGGGTCTTCTGCCACGACCCCAGCAGCTTCTTCCTGCTCCCCAGCACACAGCCTTTCTGCGGGGGAGGGGAAGGGGGGAGTAAGAACCTTATTGCGAGGGGAGGGAGCCAAGGGTCTGACCTTTACTACTTCTAACACAATATTCCACGATAATCTCCTTCGTGAATTTGATGGTTTTGACATCCCTCGTCTGTCAGGTCTCGTACTGGCCTGCTTAATGATATCTCGCATCTCTTGAATATTCTCTGGCACAGACGGTGTCCGTAGCCTTCCAGAACTGGTGCTTTGTTTTGATGATTACTTGCTTACTTGTTCTAGTACACTTCTAGCAATATATTGTTGTCCTAGCGTACTTCTAGCCCTATCTCTACTGTCGTGGATCATCTCTCAAGCATCGTCTTAATTTACATCTAGTTCTGCCGCTGTGATTTTCCAATCTATTTTTGTGTACTTCCATGTGTGACGAAGTTTTATTGATATTGGAAGGTTACATGAGTGGGAACAGGCGTTGCAATTCCTATACTTTTGCTGGCTAAGAGCTTTCACAACTTTATGTGTTGGACGTGCAGTTTCGTGTGATGGACGTACCAATCCATGTCTTGACGTAAAGCTTCAACCCATTTGCAAACCAATCCTTTTATTCTCTAGACATCTCTACCATCGCCCATTGACTCCTACCCACCTGCAGCAGGAGCTACATAGACACCTCCCCACCTGAAGAAAGAGACACATAGACTCCTACCCACCTACAGCAGCAGCTACATAGGCTCCTACCCACCTGCAACAGAACCCACGTAGACTCCTACCCACCTGCAACAGAACCCACGTAGACTCCTACCCACCTGCAACAGAACCCACGTAGACTCCTACCCACCTGCAACAGAACCCACATAGGCTCCTACCCACCTGCAACAGAACCCACATAGACTCCTACCCACCTGCAACAGAACCCACATAGGCTCCTACCCACCTGCAACAGAACTCACATAGACTCCTATCCACCTACAGCAGGAGCCACATAGGCTCCTACCCACCTGCAGCAGAACCCACGTAGACTCCTACCCACCTACAGGAGCCACGTACCTCGTCTGTGAGTTGGTAGGGATCGTTATGTGAGCCGTCATGAGCGACGCACTCCCGCACCAGCAGGTCAGCATTGGCGGGTCCTTCCACGCCCACGACCATCGTCATCAACTGCCCGATCTTCACCATGCCAGAGGCCGAGGGGGCGAAGGGCCCGCGTCCAACCTGGGGAGGCAATTGGAGGTTCACTTGTCTGACTTCACACACACACTCTTAGAATGAAAAGTGTATGAGAGATAAATATGTAGATAAGATGAAGGAAAAATAGGTCGAGATTGAATGCATTAGACAACCGACGGTTAAAAAGGCGGGGTCCAAGAGTTAGCAGCTCGATCCTGCAGGCACAAATAGTAAATACGCAAGTACTCGTATTAAAAAACGTAAACTTTCCACAAATTTTATCTCTTATATCAGGAGAAATTTACAAGTTATTTAATGATTATGTATTGTTACTCCCGAATTGTAGCCTCTCTTACTATTGCAGCTGTTGTAGGCCTACTAACACTTTCAGATTTTGTAATTTTAACATTTTTGTAAATAAGAGATAATCCAATTACATTATATTCCCTAAGAAACATCAGTTTATCATTCATAAGAAATAGATTTAATTTTATGCGCGTCAAATTTGTCAATTTTGTTTTGAGAATTATTAGAACGTGGTCACATACAGAAACTGTGGTGCCAACACATCCATCAGGAAAAGCCATAACTAAAATCCCTGTTATCCCTGCTAGAGGTCCCGTGCTGGACTGGTACAAATCCGTGGACTGAACTGTCCACGTCTTGGACCACGAACCAGGACGTGGACAGAGATGCAGCGCGAGTATCACAGGCTTCCACGGGAGATGTTATGGTGTTAAAGTCTTGAGTATATTGGAGACGCTTGAAATGTGACCCATTCTCAGTGCAGCTCTCTGTCAATCCTGATTTAATTATGCGAAACCTTGGCCGAAACTGCTGGCCTCAACAGGTGCTGTCGGGCAACTCACCTGAATATCGAGGGAGGCTGACGCCACGGTGTCAGCAGCAAAGGAGACGACTTTCTGCTCCAGCATGGCGACGTTGAGGGCGGCGCTCACCTTCTGGCTGCTGTCTCCTCTCCCCGCCGCCCCGTCGAACACACATCTGACTCCTCGCGCCGTGTCCCACACCTGCAGGCAGGGTTGAACAGGTGTATGTGTGTATAAGGTACACTTAGGAGAGGTTACAATCAGGTGTAGTCAGCAGGCGCATGGCGTAACAGATTGTATTAAAGGTCTGAGTGAGAGGGGGGGTCTTATTTACAAACAATATCTCCAACCTGTCAACTGAAAATGATAGTTCTTTTCATAAAACAATTTTCAACGTACAAAAGTGCACTGTTAAGTTAAAAACGTTCACGTTTTGTGCAATTAAATTTGTAGAGGTTAGGAGAAAGAAGGCAACAATCAAGTCTAACCTAAGCTTTCTTAAATCTGGTATAGTATAGTATAGTATAGTATAGTATAGTATATATATATATATATATATATATATATATATATATATATATATATATATATATAATATATATATACATATATATATATAATATATATACACATATATATATATATATATATATATATATATATATATATATATATATATATATATATATATATATATATATATATATAACTGAAAACTCACACCCCAGAAGTGACTCGAACCCATACTCCCAGGAGCAACGCAACTGGTATGTATAAGACGCCTTAATCCACTTGACCATCACGACCGGACATAATGAGGTGATAGCCGAGGCTATTTGAACCACCCCACCGCCGGCACTCGGATAGTAATCTTGGGCATAGCATTTTACCAAATCACCTCATTCTTTGGGGCACACGTGAGGAACACAAATGCGAACAAGCCTGAATGGTCCCCAGGACAATATGCAACTGAAAACTCACACCCCAGAAGTGACAAATGAGTGGATTAAGGCGTCTTGTACATACCAGTTGCGTTGCTCCTGGGAGTATGGGTTCGAGTCACTTCTGGGGTGTGAGTTTTCAGTTGCATATTGTCCTGGGGACCATTCAGGCATATATATATATATATATATATATATATATATATATATATATATATATATATATATATATATATATATATATATATATATATATATATATATATACACATATATGTCGTACCTAGTAGCCAGAACGCACTTCTCAGCCTACTATTCAAGGCCCGATTAGCCTAATAAGCCAAGTTTTCCTGAATTAATATATTTTCTCTAATTTTTTTCTTATCAAATGATAAAGCTACCCATTTCATTACGTATGAGGTCAATTTTTTTTATTGGAGTTAAAATTAACGTAGATATATGACCGAACCTAACCAACCCTACCTAACCTAACCTAACCTATCTTTATAGGTTAGGTTAGGTTAGGTAGCCGAAAAAGTTAGGTTAGGTTAGGTAGGTTAGGTAGTCGAAAAACAACTAATTCATGAAAACTTGGCTTATTAGGCAAATTGGGCCTTGCATAGTAGGCATAGAAGTGCGTTCTGGCTACTAGGTACGACATATATATATATATATATATTATATATATATATATATATATATATATATATATATATATATATATATATATATATATATATATATATATATACACTATAATGGCGTATATTAGACCTTTGGTTGTTTTTTTAAGACTATGACAGGTTAGGTTAGGCTGCATAGATACTGTTCCACTTTATCATGCCATTTTAAATACCTGTAGTGTAAAACATTATTTTTGTGACAAAAGTTTATTTGTGTTTGATCAATAGTTGATATAAGAAATATAATTTTACAAGATTAAACCCCCTTGCACATCTTTACCCCTCATCCCATCCTCCACCACACCCTTCCTCACCTCCTGGATGCCCGGTTCGTTCTGTATAACAATAACGTTTTCCAGGTATGAGGGCGCATCAGGTCCCCCCTCCACGTACTGCGTGCCACAGGTCCCCACCTTCACTACGAACTCAAATTCTCGCCCTCCTGTTCCTGGAGCGACGTAGTTACACTGAGGCACGCTGTAGAACCCCTGTCAGATAAAAAAAAACATGGGACCTTCGTCATGGAGGAATTTTTAATTCTATTTATACGTAGAATTGTTTTCAATATGCGTGAAGCGGTTGCACAAGTGTTCTCGCTGGGAACAGATTAATAGAGTGCACGACACAGTTACTTAAAACGGTGACAAAACGGGGATCTCACCTTAGCGTACATGAGACCGGCGAAGGAGCCGTCGAAGACGATCCTCACAATCATCTGGTCCGTTTGGCAGGCCACGTCGAGGACCACCACCTGCGCCATGGCCAAATGTGGCTCCAGTGGAAGCAAGTTGCCCACTATTCCTGCAACACACACACATTCTCAGACCTGACATCACTGGACATCCCAAAACTTATGAAACTACAAGTTTGTGAAGAGGAAAAAGTGGATCATTGAATTCAGGTTTAGTTAAATTGACTGATAATGGAAATGTTTACACACAGAGATCACACTAACGTGATGCATCAAATGAACAAATCCACAAGGGCCGTGACGAGGATTCGAACCTGCGTCCGGGAGTATCCCAGAGATTAAGGCAGTGTCTGGGATGCTCCCGGACTTCGAATCCTCGTCACAGCCCTTGTGGATTTGTTCATGGAAATGTTTTTCATTTGTTTTCATTATTCCATGTCAGATTTCACGAGGCAAGATGTAAACATCGCCCCGACGTAAACTGAGACCATCGTTCCAATAAATAATGGAACAAAATACTAAAGAACATCCAAGGGAGGATAAACTCTATTCCACCTTTACTTCTAAATATATTCATTAATAACACTAAGAACTCTTTGACCCGGCCAGGATTCGAACCCATGCCGTCCAGGATCACCCCTAAACGTACACAGTACCGTGACCACCGCACCAATGATCGTCTAAAAGTTATATTCATTAATAAAGATAACAAATAATAGCAAATAATTTTGTCGGGAGGACACTGAAAGCTATGAGCCCCCGCGAGCCTCCAGGGTAGTCCTGGAGATGTGTATGAGGGTGACGAACCTGAGGGTGACTGCAGCTGCTGAATGTTGCTCTCATAGCCAGCCAGGATGGGCGGCCCCTCGTGGAAGTCGCTGGAGTACTGTTGAAGTCCACCCGGCCGGTGCCTGATGCCCGGGGCGGGTAGGATGAAAGGTCTGGACTCCTCCTGTGGCAGGGCAATGTTATCCTGGGCAACCTCTGCCACGACAACCTGCAGGAGCAAACGTCTCACACTGGCATTCATATTTTTGTCTTGCAAAAAGATTTTTGTTTATGTCCGAAACGCTTTGCGTAATAGTGGCTTTAGGCATTGTATGTACTAGCTCTATCTATAATTCCATCAATCTTTGTAAAATCTCTTGTATGTATGTACCTTACCTAAATAAACATTTATTTATTTTATTTATTTATTATAAAACTACATTGTGCATGCTTAGGAACTTTTCTGGCCTAATTTTTCCTGAGTATGGGGTGCATAATAGGTAAATTTTAACTGTTACTAGTTCACCACTAATGAGGATTGCTTACCCTATAAAACATTTGGGTGCAATTCCTGAATCTATTATGTCACTAACCTTTCTGCCCCGGGGTCAGCAATAAACTAATAACTGACAGTCATTAACTAAAGCCCGAATGAATACCATATAATAATTTTCAAACGCAATTTACCTTTTTAATTTAATTTAATTGACGAACTTCATACATCATATATGAAATTTTAAAAGAATGAGCATAGTTAAAAAAACATTGTTAACTGTTATATATACAGTGTAGTGTTTGTAAAATTTTAATTAATAATTTAGCACGGTTGTATGCACAGAAGTGACTCCCACTTTTCAGTATAAACTCGCTGCGAGTTTAATTTTCGTCTGAACTGTTTTAAGTAACAATATACTTTTTTGTTTGGTAAGCACTTGTTATATTATTAATAGCCCTCTTGTGGTTAACAGGCCTAAAGGCTCAACACCAAATGTAACCTAACTATGAGACACATTACAGTTCTTCTTATATTTACCATAGTTATTCCTAACAATTCGAACCTAAATATACCGTTTTCTCTCATAGGCGTTGAAGAGAGGATGACACGGATGGTCTGGTCTGAGGGGCAGAAACCGGAAGCCTGACACACTTATGGGTAATTACTCCTCTAAACTATGCAATGAGAAGCTAAGGTAAACCAGATAAACATTTCCACTGCTGATTTACTCACTATAAATTTCTGATATATCTGACCCCCAGTTCGAGAGGTGGTAGAATTTGCATTTAATTATCTGCGACCCAGTTCGCCTCTCATAACCCTATCGAAATAAATCTATTTGTACGTGTTGAAAGTTTATTTGCTTTATAAAGTTTGTTCTTGTAAACGAAGCATACATTAACAAGTCTTTGTGTATGTTGCAATACAATTTCAATAATTTAAGTAATTAAGTCTAAAAATTAAAAAAAAAAACAATATTTTCACAGAAGTTGAAAGCAGGTATCGTAAGTAAGAAGTAGCTTCTTACTTACATAGTAAGTAAGACTTAATAAGTAAGAAGTAAGCTTCTTACCTACTTAGTAAGTAAGAAGTAAGAAGAATCAAGCAAGTATCGTAGCGAAATGATAAGTATCGACTATTAACTGAGAACATTTTATGTCTTTTACCTCGTGATAAACAGCAAACTACCGACCTCAATTCGCCCCTGTTTGCTAGTACATGTCTGGTGCGTTCGTGTGTGTGTGTGTGTGTGTGTGCGTGTGTGTGTGATCTGCTTCGGGAGGATGAAGGAGGTACTCCCCGACAAGAACAATCCGGCCCTTAGCTGCTGAACTAATTTCTTATCTGCTGGTGGGTACAGCGTGGTGGTGCCCTCCCACACACACACACACACACACTGAGACGAGCAGGAACTTGCTCCTACACGTAAAACTTGACAAAGTTGAGGTCAATAAGAACGATATATAAGTCGTTTTTATTGTCGTTTTTATTGTCGTTTTCGACTTTCGACTTCAAATCGACTTGAGAATGGTCCAGGACGGACCGAAACGTCATCGTCGTCCCTTCACCTTCTAGTGTGTGGTCTGGTCAAACGCGTTTTGACGCTTTGTTAACTTAATCTCACCGTTGTTTACAACATCTGTGTCGTAAGATTTTCTTTTTGGAAATCTGGATTTATAGAATTCGGCCACCTTGCTTTAAAAGCAAGATAGACAATAAACGTTGGGGAGGAGACAGATGTAAATGGGGAATAAGAGAAAGCAGGAGAAAGCGACACTGAAAACGAAAACGTCAGGTTTTTTACAGTAACAAAGTTAAACACAAGAACAAGTAACGGAGAAATACGAACATTAAGATGATAATTGGCAAGTAGCGTGCACAAGACCAAGAAGTGAGAGTGACAATAGTGTTACCTGGTAAGTAGCATGGAGTAGCAGTAAAAGGAACATATTTATGGGTGTTCCCTGGTTCTTCATGTCGTCCAACACCCTCGACCACAACAGACCTGAAATGCGAATAATTTATTTTGTTGGTCGGGATGGCGCCTCTGAGGTATAATTTACTCAATATACATCAGCAACATACATGTGTAATCTGTATGATTATTTAGTGTAATATGTATTGGGCCTGGATTGTTTGGCTTAGTCACTAGCTGGGATTAGGATTTTCTTAGCTTCAACTCATGAAAGAAAACGTGAATTTGTGTATACACTTAATACGCCGATGAACGAAATATATTTGCGTTAAAATGACCGTCTGGTTAAAGTATAACCACTCTTAGGTATATTATAACATTAATCCAATATGCTAATTGATTCTAGTATTGTATTCCTATTATTATATCACTGAAAAACTGCATCATTGCACCCCCGACATACTGTACCATTTCAATGTGCCACAACAGTACTGTATCAAAGCACTTACGTAATTGTATATCACTATGGTCTGGCTTTTCTTCATTTATTGTCGAAATAATATCATTTATAATTGTCATATGATAAGGTTCCCATTATCTTCTGAAACATGGAGCTTGGTAGCTTAGTCAAGGCCCCCCTTCCCTTCTCCCCTAGGATGTTGCATAGCTCTCGAGTACCTATTTACTGCTAAGTGAACAGATAGATCACGGGAAAGGAAACATTTCCAAATGTCTCTAGCCTCCCTAGAGAGTCTATAGCCTAGGACCTATCGGTTGCGACTCATCAGAGCTACGACTATTCCAAAGTTGTTGATTTAGATTCAGCTACTTGAAATAAAAGTTCCAAGCAGCACGGGCAATGGTGAGCCCGTAGTGGACTTACCCCCTGGCACAGGAGCGGGGCTGTAACTGATGTGGTGTATTCCAGAGGCGATTAGGCTACTTTTAAATTCGTTCATATTATGTACACAAAAAATGTGTTTTTTTCCCGTCGCAAACATGTATACACCCGAACCACGTTGCAAACTACCCTCTGTCTCCCGAGTGTCGATCATGTACACCCGTGGAGCATTGCGAAGAGTTAGAGGGGAGCGATGGGAAGACATGAAAACACACTGAGAAATGCAGACAGATCTGGCGGGCCCAAGTTTCTCGCTCACACAATCTACGTGGGGGGGGGGGGGTAGAAATAGCCTAAGCTACTCTATCCCTTTGAGACGTATTTCTTTCTTATCTCAATAAACATGAACTTGAACTTGAACAACGTACGTGCTGGGAGTCCCGCCCCTCCCTGTAACGAATCCTGAACGTATTTAAAGACAGACTTGCAGATACAGACAGACACACAGTCATACACACACCCACAGACGGAAAGAGAGAGACAAACACGTGTATACACAGACGAATAACACAGGAAGACCGTAAGGCAGAAAAACAGTGACAAACAGAAAAAAACAGAAGACAGATTGACAGAGAGCAGACAAAAACAGATATAGCAACCCAACCTCCTAAAATAACAGTACTGAACTTATAGAAACTATTTGGTCGAACATACAAAAATGAACTGTTGGAGCCAACAATGTTCACGATTTGTAAAAAAAAAAAAAAAAAATATGAAGAGTGCAGGAAAAAACAAACAAGTTAGAACATTCCTAGACCTAGAATAATATATATACATATAGTATATTGGACCTAAAATAGCATACATTAGGCTCCCTAGGACTGCTTCAAAAAGTAAGGTTATGTTAGGTTAGGCTCTTTAGTTACCGTTCAGATTTTTAGTATGACATTTGGGCTAATTCAATAATACAAAGCGTGAATTTTTCTGCGTCTAACCGTCCATTTGTGTTCGTTAGACCAAACAGTTGCTACAAGTACTGTCAATTAAGTAATGGTAATGTCTTCTCGCAGACATGATAACATTGGTATAAATCCACACTTGAGGATTTGTGAAATTTATGTGAGTAATTTACACCTATGTAAGGTTGTAAATTCCATACATAAATTTCACAAATACACAAGTGTGGGTTTTTATTCAGAGTACTGTCATTATTGGAGGATAGGCTGAATAGAGAGAGAGATACAGACACAGAGAGACAGACACAGACAGAGGCAGACAGGCATAAAGAGACAGAGACACACAGGAAGAAGACACTGAAGAAACAAACAGAAAAACAATGGCATACCAATAGACACAAACAGACGCAGGAAGACAGACATAAAAACAGCGACGGACACAGAAACATAGAAAATCACAGACACACAGTAAAGTACAAATAACGCAAAAATGATCGACTTTTTTAAATTTCCGTCATTATAGAATTAAATAAGTGCAGGTTAAAAATAATGAAGTAACATTTGTTTAATAACTATTGATTAAATTTCTACATAATAAACAATGTAAATAAATTTCTACGGAATAGGATATATATCAATTACGATTGTATAATAACATTTAAGGGTGTTAAAAAAAATTTTACTCTGAACATTTTCTTGCTTTGCAAAACGGCAAAAGTTGAGAGAGCAGCCAACTTTTAAGCGCCTTCCTCATATTCGTTTTAAAATGCTAATATTTGCGAGTCTGCCTCAAACTTTGTGCGTTTTTACTACTTTCTCGCAGTGTTAGAGGAAGTCTGAGATAATAATTATGTACGAAATATTGATATTGTTAGCAGGTTGGTGGCTGCCGATGTTGGCAGGAGGTTGGTGGCTGCCGATGTTGGCAGGAGGCTGGTTGGTGGCTGCCGATGTTAGCAGGAGGCTGGTGGCTGCCGATGTTGGCAGGAGGCTGGTGGCTGCCGATGTTGGCAGGAGGCTGGTGGCTGCCGATGTTGGCAGGAGGCTGGTGGCTGCCGATGTTGGCAGGAGGCTGGTGGCTGCCGATGTTAGCAGGAGGCTGGTGGCTGCCGATGTTGGCAGGAGGCTGGTGGCTGCCGATGTTGGCAGGAGGCTGGTGGCTGCCGATGTTGGCAGGAGGCTGGTGGCTGCCGATGTTGGCAGGAGGCTGGTGGCTGCCGATGTTGGCAGGAGGCTGGTGGCTGCCGATGTTGGCAGGAGGTTGGTGGCTGCCGATGTTGGCAGGAGGCTGGTGGCTGCCGATGTTGGCAGGAGGATGTTGGCAGGAGGCTGGTGGCTGCCGATGTTGGCAGGAGGCTGGTGGCTGCCGATGTTGGCAGGAGGCTGGTGGCTGCCGATGTTGGCAGGAGGCTGGTGGCTGCCGATGTTGGCAGGAGGCTGGTGGCTGCCGATGTTGTCAGGAGGCTGGTGGCTGCCGATGTTGGCAGGAGGCTGGTGGCTGCCGATGTTGGCAGGAGGTTGGTGGCTGCCGATGTTGGCAGGAGGTTGGTGGTTCCGATGTTGGCAGGAGGTTGGTGGCTGCCGATGTTGGCAGGAGGCTGGTGGCTGCCGATGTTGGTAAGAGACTGAACTATGTAAATCTTGCGTGTCGTAATTTAAACATCCCGCGTGTTTGTGCTTCGCGTCATTGTTTTCACATTCATACTGACAAGACAAACAATGCCACACGCACACCTAAACGACTTTTGTAGTTAGACAAACAGTCCACACTAACAATTAAAGAACTTGTGAGGGGGAAGAAGAGAGAAAGTCGTAGATAAACATGATAGGAGGATTAGTCTGATGATTGTGGATAATGAAGAAAAATAATCTAAGTGTATAATGGGGACGAAGTCATGGGAAAAAAGCAGAACGGTAAAGTAATTAACACTTTCGTACAGATTTAAGACCGAAGGGGCAAATAAAGTATTTGCCTACTGGTACACCCGGCTCACCAACCCCCGTGTGAATTGTGGCAACATCTGTAACTTCTCGGTGAAAGTTTCTCACAACGAAAAAAAATAAATATATATATCCCAGATGGCGGAGGTAAAATATGACTGTGTTGAAGAACGCCATCTCTGGTTGGGTTTAGGCTTCACTAATGTCTTTTAAATATACAAATATGTTGGTCTCCGCGCTTATCTCTGTCGTGGAGACAGTTGCTTGGTAAAATAGAATTGTAAATATGTTTGCATCACAGTTGAGCGGCAGTTTCTTGGCCACTGCTTAGTAGAAATCTGTCATTAAATAATTTATTACAATTCTATCGTTCGCCCAACAATAAACACAATTCTATCGTTCGCCCAACCGTTCAAGTATCATAATCACCCTTCACCAAGAAAGGTAATGAGAATCTTGCTCTTCTCAAAGCTGTCACACTTGTAACAATAGCCTCCTCCATCGAAAATTTAAGATCTCACACGCAGTGTCTAAACCGACGGCTCAGTCCAATCTTTTATTGGACGGACAGCAACAGCATGTAGGTTTTATAGAAATAATACTTGCACACGGACTGTCAATGCCAGGTTAAACAACGGGCTGATCTCCACACAAACAGAACTAGCGGCACTACAACTAGCTACCAGAACATTAAAAAACATAGGAGGAATAATATTTTGTGATTCAAAGTCTGCTCTTCAAGCAATTTAAAACTTCTCCTGGAAGATGTCGAACTTCCAGAAGTTTTAAGAACCTCACAGCAGTGAGGCAAGAACCTCACACTAACAATTATAAATGACCTAATTGCTGCACAGAGTAAAGGGTTTCGAATCTCATTTGTATGGATACCATCACACATAAATATAACCCATCATAATGAGACAGACATTGCAGCCAAATTAGCGTGTAACAGAGATGAAGTTGAATTAGACCTAGGTATCCCCATCTCTGCTGTCAAAGCTATATTGTACCAAACACTCAGGTCTGATAGGAAAGAAATTACTGACTCCCAACGACCTGAAAGCACCAGGATAAAAAGCTATGATTTGTTCAAATCTGAAACCTATATTTATGGGCAGCACAAAACGTGGACCAGACTGTGCGACACAGTGGTTGCCAGGATCAGGTTGGGTTACCGTTACCTATGGCAGGTGGCTACAGGTGACGGATCTCCCAATCCTGAACACTCCAGGTGCAAACTCTGTAAGCAGGAACTGCGGCATGATCTCTCACACTACATCACCGAATGCCCAGTTATTAGACCATTCAGACCAGTTGGCATGAGGCACCTGGAGCTTGGCAATTACCTTATT